GACCACTATTCGTTTTTTAGTGTGATACGCTATAATGTTGAAGGTGCGAATCGAGTCAAGTACTCGAGAGCATGAATTAAAATATATATATATAGTCGCACATATTTGAATATTTAAATATCAAACCACACTTTCATATAATAATTTAAACTTGTGAAATAGTCGACAATGATCCTAAAAAATCTTACATGGTATAAGGGATCCACGTTTGCCTTAGGCTAAAGTTTTTTAAAATACTTGACAGTGATCCCACAAAATCTACCAACACATTTCCTTTCCAATATTTAGGGACAATTTCGAAAAACTACTTTCCAGCCGAAAAAAACGTTTCTCGATGGAAAATGAGTTACCAAAATTATGTGTTTGTTTGGTCGACATGTACAAATAAGAAAATCTTGATACTCTTTTATAACGAACCATGATTTCAATTGGGACTCTGAGTTCAAATTGGGTTCGACCCTGCTTGGGAGCAACTCGGGTCTAGCCGCTGGCGAACACAGACCGGGTCGGCGGACCCCTCCAGCTCCAAAAGAAAGTTAAGGAGAGAAGAAGGAAACGGTTCGAGTGTGGACACGGCCGATTTTAGGGTCCAATTTTTGGACACCCAATGGAGGACTTGACCGTCGGGACGAGCCGACCGCAACTTGCTAATAACTAAACAAGTAATAAGCAGCAGCGAATCTCGCAAACACCTAAAAGAAATAATCAGATTCCTCGTTCGCGTTCAAAGCTGACCTCGTTTGTCTTCCTCTTACTGTAGCTGTCGTTGGTTCCACGACTTCGAGAAGCATTTGACAATGGGCGTCTTTCTTTGAGCTTTGATTTTCCTTTTTCTTTTTCCTCCATTTTTTATTGGTCTGGCAGGACTTTTTTGTTTTTAACTTTCACTCCGCGTGAAATCCTCTGTTCACAACGGTCTCGGATGTCGGAAAAGGCACGCAATCAATAGTTCATCGCAATCGTCAGGGTCCTGCGGAAATTGATTTTTGCCAAACGCAATTGGAATTAGAATATCATGCAATGAATTATTAACCCGAAAGTGGGCCCACACGTGAAAGAAGTTGGGGGCGGACGGAGAATGTCCTACCTCGATCCGAACCAAGGTCATAACAATATGCATAACTAATGAAATGTACTCAATATAATGTCTAACGAGTTCTTTAATCGTAAATATCATTACGATACGATTGACCCACACGGCCCATCGATTCAACGTCCGAGAGCTCGTTGCTCACGTGTTCTTAATGGACAGAGTAGGAATGAGCAGTTACAGGTTTCGTATAGGTTTCACCTGAAACCTGGAACCTACCCATTGAAACGAGTTTTTCATTTTTTGGAACCTAGGACCTACTTTGTCACAGGTTCCAGGGTCGATTTCAGGGTCTACTCAGGTTCCACCTGTATTATTAGTTGAACGATTACAATGAATTATCACATTTAATGATCACCACTTGCTGCTACAATCCACTGACCACAACTTATATATAGACATATGAAGAATATGAATAATTAACAAAGTAAAAGTATCAATGATAAAATGGAAGCTCAAATTAGTGGTTCCTGATTATACACTCATCATTGAATGTTATGGAATATCGCATGATCGCACAAAACCATACACCAAGAAAAATATAAAAACTTGTATCCTAGAACCTGGGACTTACCCGTCAAAACAGGTTCCTCAATTTTTGGTACTTGGAACCTACCATGCATATCTTGGAAACTGTAACCGACAGGTTCCCATTAGTTCTATTTTTAGGTTTCAAGTTCTACTCCGGAACCATACTTATCCCTAGGATAGAGTCTTAAGTGAAGTTTATGACATATGGCAACGATCGATTGACTTGAAACAACGAAGCAAATTAGAATCCGAGTCAAGAAGATCCATTTACCTAGGGATAACTGTAACGTGCAAGTTAAGAGCAGGTTGAGATTCTTGTGGAGTGAGATCTGGACACACAATGGAGTTTACCATTTAAGATACAAGAGAAATCAAAGTAAAAGGACGCCAAACGCATCACTCAGCACATTCAACATAGACAATACACTATGAACAAGAATACAAAACATCATTCAACGCATCGGAAATCGTGAGGAGCCCGTCAAATATGAAGAAATATCAATCGGATTAAATCTTGCCCAAGTTTGAATTCCAAATTCGAATAAGATTAGCTTTCCTAATTCCAACGCTTGTCTTCGACTGTAAAAGTCTTCCAGCCGTGTCTTGTAAGTTTTACTTTCTCTACGCACTTCATCGATTTCCTTTAAGAAGTTCACGTCCAAATTCAGCTATCGAGTAAAAGCATGGCTTCCAAGAACGCAAGCCATTCATCCCGATTCGATAAAGTTCCTCGCAATTCAAAATCCATTCACTTTCAATTTCGATACTTTAATTGGCCCATCGGTAATCCTCAATTAGGATTTAACCATCGAATTCCCGACAAACGCTTGCAAAGTGAGGTGATCGCGTCCGGCGGTTTGTGATCACTTGACCAACTTGCTCGAGTTCAATTCCGGGCTAAAGGTGGATTCCACACGCAATGTACGATGTCCGAGGTTCCCAGCTGCTCCAAGGAGAAAATTATCCGTTTTTTTTTTTTTAGTCAAGGGAGAAAATTATCCGTTCGTCGGTATGAAATCGGGCGGGTCCCGACGACTCCCTCCTCCTCCACCAATTACAAACAAGGACGGGAAAATCCAATCATGAGTCGGTCTCTCAATTCAATCCTCGCACTTTCCCCAATAAGATTTCGTGATTCAGCGATTACGTATGTATGACCCGTGTTACTTACTATGCCATGCATCGTTCGGAAACGCATTCTAATTTTCCCAAAGGTGCACTTTTTTGGGGTCCTCCAACACATGTATATTTGACTTTCTTTCGGCCGAAAATAGAGGAGGAGAAAGAAGGAAGAAAGGTAGTAGCTCGGCCAGATCTCCGTTGTCTCACTTACCCTAGACTTTATGCTAGTCTATTATCCTTGTAACATGCCTCGATATTTCCATATCTATAAGCACTCGCCGATGAAGGCTCGGCTAGTTACTAATCATCCATTGCCGACTCGTTTTAAGGATTCTTGATTAAGCAAGTAGTCTAATAACTAATTATCCATCGCCAAGAGACGGCGTAACCTTGGCGTGAGAACTTGTATAATTAAGCGACGCCCCACAAGAAAAAGATGCTTTTGAAAAAGAGTTACATATTAATTTTGGATCGTGGACTCCGTATCATAAATTTCTTTCTGAATTTTCAATAATATCCATCCATCTTGATCATGTAGGTCCCTATTTTATAAGTTTGCTTGGTCAAAATTGATTAGTTGGACCATATAGAATATGTAAAAATGACGCAGAGTCAGCTTATTCAGGTTGATTAAAGGGTAATATCATTTTATTATAAGTTTGCTGACTTTATATTATTCGGAGACGTTTGAACCCACGAACATGAATATTATTTATTTGAGCCACAAATATATAAATACCAGCTGGAAATTTCTGAGCCGCTCGTAGAATTATGCATCCACCAGTTATCAAATGTTAAAATATTTTCCTCTCAATTAAAAGATTAGAGGAAAAATAATTGTTGAAAGGGACTGTAGAACATGCACTGATGCAGATATTTGATGCATGGATAAAAAATATAAGCATTGATGTTTGATGTATGCGTGATTTAATATTTAAGTCTTTTAACACTAACAATTAATTAAATAGCACGTACGATTTGGATGCGCTCAACGTCAAGCTCATACCCACGAAGGACAGAGAAATGTACAACATAAAATTTACATAGTTTTCTTTCTTTTTTAGCACCTTCCTCAGTCAAGTGAATTTTTTTTTTTATGGCTGGCCCAAAAATAGAATTTATTTCTATGCACTATGCAGTCACTGCTTATGCCATTGATCCTTAAGGCAACCATCAGCTACTTTGTTTTCTCGACATATAGTCTAATTCAAAAAGAATAGTCTACTAACAATTAATTTTTTTTTTTATGTCCGATTGCTATCACTCGGGAATATTGAGGAATAGAATTTGAACCGTGTATCTAAAACATAAATAAAAAATTTGTTCTTTTATCACTAAATCGAGTCTATGAGAACATGTTGTGCTTGGATTTATAATGAAAAGGGATAATGACGGAAATGGTTTTTGAACTTTGGTTAAATATGCAATGTGGTCCATGAACTTTCAATTTATTCAATGTGGTTCCTGAACTTTAGTTCAATGTGCAATGTAATTCCTGAACTTTTAATTTGTTTAATGTGGTCCCTGAACTTTTGGTACATATTCAAACGAATCCCTAAACTAATCCCTCAACATTTTCATATAGATTATGGATTAGTTTAGAGATTAGTTTGAACATGTACCAGTAGTTCAGGGACCACATTGAATAATTTAAAAGTTCATGGTCACGTTGCACATTGAGTTAAAGTTCATGGACTACAATGAACAAATTAGAAATTTAGAGATCAAATTGCACAATACCAAAGTTCAGGAATCATTTGTGTCATTTATCTAAAGAAAAGGAAGCGGGCTATATTTCTTTGATCAGGTTCCAAATTTACAGGGCTATGTGTGCTGCTGTATCTTGTAAACATCATGCATGGAAGTATTTATTGCTATTGCTGTTCCTGTCATCACCACCATCATCATCAGCAGTTCGCCATTTTTATTGGACGAAATGAAGTTCCGGAGCAAGAAGTGTCACTGAGGTTGGTGCCGTCGCAAACGTGAAGGAAAAGGGTTGACTCGGGAGAGAAACAGTGCCCAGTTCTTGAGCTTAATGGCTTTGTCTACGGATCTGAATGGGACCACACCTGTCTCTCTCTCTCTCTCTCTCTCCATTGTTACAGTGTTTTCGGTTTGAGCGACTTTCTGTCGCAGCTTCCATGGTCGTATTCCTCGCATCCATCTTACGCGTCTAAAAGTCAAAAGTCATATAAGTCATACTTCCCTTCCCATTTCATCGATTCATCTTTTCTCGTCTCTGCGTTCATATAAAGACACCCGGCTCCTCCATACCCTTTGTGCCTCGTTTTGTCCCTGCACTGTTAGACACATCTAAACCCGCATAAATCTGATCTTTGTATTCAGGTCGAGTCTCGAGAAGAAGGGCTCTCTCTTAAAAATCGCTTGTTTCTTGAGAGGAGAGCTGAGCGAATGAAAGATTAGAGTTGAGCCCATATTGATCACCTGAAAACCCAGATAAAAATTAGTTCAGAATATTTACTCGCGGCAGAGCCACCGTAGAGAGAGGGTGAATCCATGGCAGCTACGACGGGAGGGAGGTCGCTGGAGCAGACGCCGACATGGGCGGTCGCCGTCGTCTGCTTCGTTCTGGTTCTGGTTTCCATCATCATCGAGTACATCATCCATCTCATCGGACAGGTTAGCCGACGAGGGTCTTCTTGATTAGCTTTTCGGCACAAACTTGCATCACCATGTACTCGAACAACTACAACCATGATCTCATATTGCTTCTTTCTCTATCTCTATAGTGGCTGAAGAAGAAACACAAGCGCGCACTCTACGAAGCGCTTGAGAAGATCAAATCCGGTATGCAATCTGTTGAATCGAAATATGACTACTTTAGCAGTTCAAAAAAGTATTGGCCCATGTTTTCTGCGATCTAAGTCTTTGCGAAGAAACGGTTGCCTAACTTAATGTTCAAGCTCATCAGAAGCTCGTTTCTGTTCTTGATCATGCAGTCGATGCTATAAAACTTACTCGAGAGAAAACGGTTCCTTTACCTGCCTGATCAACTCGTTTCATTTTGGTTATCTTGATGGCTGGTGCAGAGCTTATGCTGTTGGGATTCATATCGTTGCTCCTCACGGTGGGACAAGGCCCGATCACCAACATCTGCATACCGAAGAAGGTGGGGGCAACATGGCACCCGTGCAACAAGAAGGAAGATGAGCTGCTCGACGAAGAATCTGACCACAGCCGGCGGAGGCTGCTCGCCATGGCGGGCTCTGGGGGAAGCTCCCGCCGTGTTCTGGCGGCCGCCACCACAGACAATTGCGCGGCTAAGGTGTGCACCAAAGCTTTCACATTCATTCCACATTTTGTCGTATTTTTCCTTGGGAATGTGTGGACGGCACATAAAAGCGATCAATATTTATATATATATTGATGTGGTTCTATTAACGTTCACATTCGTTTTCGACGGACGTAATGTTGTAAAGGGAGTGACGGACAAATTTGAGCCATCCCTTACGGTCCACAATTTTACGCGCAAATTTAGCCGATAACCAAAATAGGAACCAAGCTTAAACATGCTGAATTAGGACATGGATGCGATGAATTGAACGAAAGAAATTCGACTGCCATATTTATTGATACTAGTAAGTTGGAAGGACTAAATTGATTTGGATTTTTTGGTGGTTTTGTGCTTGGTGGTGGGCGTGGATTATATTTTTGCAGGGTAAAGTTCCGTTTATTTCTGCAGATGGGATCCACCAGCTCCACATCTTCATCTTCGTCCTCGCTGTTTTTCACGTCCTGTACTGTGTCCTCACCATGGCTTTGGGCCGAGCCAAGGTTTATCTCTCTCTCTCTCCCTCTCTCTCTCTCTCTCTCTCTCTCTCTCTCTCTCTCTCTCTCTCTCTCTCTCTCTCTCTCTCTCTCTCTCTCTCTCTCTCTCTCTCCATTCACAATGACGATTAGTATTTAAAAAATGATGTGATGATTGTGCAGATGAGAAGCTGGAAAGCATGGGAGAAGGAAACAAGAACAGCTGAGTACCAGTTCTCCCATGGTTAGTGACCAAGTCTTCCCTCAATACATACGTTTCATCGGTTCAGTTCATTCGATTTTCTGGGTTTAATCTTGCATATGCGTGTATGGAAAACATAAGTAGCCGTTTTTATCATTGTGTGCGACAGATCCGCATAGGTTTAGATTCACTAGAGAAACATCATTCGGGAGGAGGCACTTGAACTTCTGGACCAAGACACCCGTCCTCATCTGGATCGTAAGCCTTCAATTCTTTCTTTCTGTTTTTTCTCCCTCCCCACCTTTATTCATTGATTCTTGATTGTTTCATCGTTTCATTTTCCCCTTCCAGTTAGGCCACTGAATCTGTCCTAGTACTTCATGAGTACCTCTTTTGACTTTTTCGGCTCTAGGAAAACGTGAGGGTTTTTGGTCTCCACACACGCTATGACAGATACGGTTGTGCGTAGCATGTGCTTTTCTCAATTCAGGCAGTTTTCAATCATAGAATTGGGACCTAGAAAAGAACTAAATGAACCACTTTCGGGCAGTAGCACAATCTTTACTTTTTGCCCCCTTCGTCGCTCGACCTCTCGATGAGGCCGGCACATCACCAATAACCGGGTCATGGCCTGAAAGCGCATAGTGGGCCACGAGTCGATTGAGACGAGATTACCAATTGTCGAAGCAACAATATGAAATCGATAGGAATAGACATAAAGTCATGTAGATGCGATAATCATGTGCACTAATAGTCATTCACCTACTAAGCCAAAATCTCCCCAACCCCACCTAGACTTTGCGAAAGAGTAATCATGAAGTCATTAAGATGATCATTTTCTGCGACTTAGCAGTCAAATGAAGGATTGACTTAGGCACTTTCCTTATTCCTCGCTAATGGGGTTGTCCAGATTAGCGAAGTTTCCTTAATTTGGGAGTTTAACGATCTTAATTGATTGCGATCAAAGTCAAGGTGGGGTTACGGTCTTAAGCATGGCTCTGGCTCCTGGTAGCTGTCCAATGCAATCTCTTTTGTTTGACCATTTAGTAGTACAACTTTTTTGACTTCTTCAAACCCGGCGGAAATGAAACGTCAGAAGGGGAGAAAGAAGCCATAAAGGGGAACCTATGAATGTATAAGAAGGTCTTCGTTGACTTCTCGCCTATCTTACACTAGCAAATTCGGTTCTAGAAGGGACTTCGTCGCAATGATCAACTTGTTCTCTACGTTCTTCAGTTTCGCTGTATTTACGACTTTTCAACCCAAAGATTGAACGAATTAAGTCAGAAAAGGGCCTTTTGTCTGCGGTCCCGTGATTGTGACTGCGTTCGTTTGAATAATTATTTTCCTGTTCATGAAAGTTACTGCTCATGCTGTCTAAACAGAACTTCAAGATAATAGGATAAGTGTAGAAGTAATTTACATAAGGTACACCGCCGGTGTGATGTAAAATAATTTGTACACGAGCAATCGTGATATGGAAATTCGTCTATTGATGAAATGAATTGGCGGGTTGCGAGTAATTACGATTGACCCTTTCCCTTCTTGGATTTGAAGGTCTGCTTCTTCAGGCAATTCGTGAGGTCGGTCCCTAAAGTCGATTACTTGACTTTGAGGCATGGTTTTATCATGGTAAGTTTCCATTTTTCATAACCATTTCCTTCTTTTACGTTGAATTAATCTATTTTATTGTTGTAATGATTTGATGATCATTTGGAGCGAATCTTTGTCCTTTGTTCAGGCACATTTGGCACCTCAGAGCCAGACCAACTTCGATTTCCAAAAGTACATCAACAGATCCCTGGAGGAGGATTTCAAGGTTGTGGTAGGAATCAGTCCACCCATCTGGTTTTTCGCTGTGTTGTTCTTGCTCTTCAACACGCATGGTGAGAAGTCAACAGAATTTCACATTCTGAATGGTCACATATGCAATCTAAAATTTGTGACCGAAATTTGATTAAATCCCGATTCTTGATGTGTGCAGGGTGGTACTCTTATCTGTGGTTACCGTTCATCCCGCTGATTGTAAGCACAGTCTCGACATCTCGTTGCTCGGAAACAATGTTCCTGCTACCGATTTTTGTACTTGGTTAGGATCTGATGCAGTTGAATCCAATTGCTTGCAGATCATCCTTTTGGTGGGAACAAAGTTGCAGGTGATTATCACGAAAATGGGTCTCAGAATTCACGAGAGGGGTGAAGTTGTTAAGGGTGTGCCGGTTGTTCAGCCGGGGGACGACCTTTTCTGGTTCAACCGTCCGCGCCTCATCCTCTACCTCATCAACTTTGTTCTGTTTCAGGTGCTGTAAACTACGTCACTGTTACATTTGCTACTTGTGGCCTTGAAATCGAACCGCATGCTCACCGTTTTGTGATATGTCGCTCTCCTGCAGAACGCCTTCCAGCTCGCTTTCTTTGCTTGGACTTGGGTGAGTTGATTCGGGCTCGAACTTCAAATTTAAGTGCATCATGTAGATGTCCTAGTTATCGGTATATTCATATGAATGAGACCTTAACTCTTAGTCTTCTCATTTTTCAGTATGAGTTTGGGTTGAAATCTTGTTTCCATAAACATACAGACGATGTGGTGATCAGAATCTCCATGGGGTAAGTCATCCGAATTCGATATTTCTATTCCTTTTGTTGAAGAACATGTAAGGTATAAGTATGCGAAGTTTGTATACAAAGCATTTCTGTCTATATTACTCATTAGAATTGACCTCAACAGGGTCCTGATTCAGATCCTATGCAGCTATGTCACTCTCCCTCTTTATGCCCTTGTAACTCAGGTAAAATCTCTCTCTCTCTTTCTCTGCAAAACCAGCATAGTTGCCTAAGGATCCAATTATCCCAAAACTGAAAATTTTGCCACGCCAGATGGGGTCGACCATGAAACCGACGATATTCAACGATCGAGTCGCGGCAGCGCTGCGCAACTGGCACCACTCCGCCAAGAAGCACATCAAGCAGAACAAGAGCTCCGTGACCCCCATGTCGAGCAGGCCGACGACCCCTTCGCACCACATGTCGCCCGTGCATCTCCTGCGCCACTACAGGAGCGAGCAGGATAGCTTCTACACGTCGCCTCGGAGGTCGAACTTCGAGGCCGAGCACTTGGAAACCGACTCCCCATCCCCCACCCATCCCCATCACCACCAAGGCGATGGCTCATCATCTCACCATCACCCCGGGGTGGAACACGGTCACGTCGGACCCGAGACAGATCCGCAAGCGGCACCAGCTCCTGAGCCAGCCCGGACTCAACATGAAATCAATATTGGGCTGCAGGATTTTTCATTCGAAAAGAGAACGAGTTCCGAGTGAGCGGATCCAGGGTCGCGATCTCGGCACAGTTACTTGCTTGACGATGGTGCGGATCATTAGGAGAAAGGAGAGATGAGCCACAGACTTTGCATCCCCTCGTACATAAGTGAGAGAAACAGAGAATATCTTCTAACCTGGAAAGGAAGACGCCAGCTTTTGTATTCTTTCTATTTCTTCCCATTTTTTGCACTTGTTTCTTCGAGAACATCAGTTTGATAGTTTCCCCATGTTCAATTCCAGTCCTTTTCCTTGTGATATTCTCAATTGAAATCTTTTCATACATCACTGGTTCGCCAGATAATAGGCGTAGTTTCAGAGCCCGCCAAAATTCACGTACCATTCGTGTAACTACCCCTATTAATGAATTTGGCCCCAAAGATAATAGGCGTAGTTTCAGAGCCCGTCAAAAGCATTTGCGTGGCCTGGTTAATCTCACAAATGGCATTTCTGTTCAGAAGCGAACGAGCTCTCATCTCTTTCAGGATCAACGCCGTTTGCAGAGAGCAATCGACCTCGGTGTCCATGGAGGCAGTGCAGCCTTTGAGCTTTGGCTGCTTTTATGAACTCAGGTCGATTTCAGTCTCTCGAGCTAAAATGTTCATGAACTCAGTTCAACTGTTGCGAAGATGAAGCTCGTAGAAACCAAAATCACGCTCATCAGATGCTCTCCTGCCGATCCTAAGAGCGCACACAGTTCGCTTAGGTTTTTCAAAATTCCGGCTCGGATTCCCCCTTAGGTTTGTGATCTGTCGAGTTATGTTGCCGCTTATGCTTAGCATGTTTTGACGTTAGTCCTGGAGGCAATACTTTTGGAAGCTGGTTATTTAGGTGAATAGCAAACTTTCTTTCGACGTCTGACAGGGCTTTCGAAACGAGAGTGTCCTAGGACAAATCGTCACTATCAATTTTGTCTATTGTTCTTCGTGCGTAGATTATGTTCATCAAAACCGGGAGCAAGAGACATAGTTCTGATGTTATGTTTTCTCACGTGCTACGTTGTTGAGCTTGCTGTCATATTCTCTGTGTTTCAGCTGTCAAGATGCATCCTAAAACGCGAAAATACGTAATTGGGGAGGCAGATAAGGAATGCGTGATTTAATATTTAAAAGATCCGCTGTTATGTTTCTCGTGTGCTACGTTGTTGAGCTTGCAGTCATATACTCCGTGTTTCAGCTGTCAAGATGTATCCCATTCTTCATGTTTCAGCTGTCAAGTTGTATCCTAAAACATGAAAATATTTAATTGGGGAGTCAAATGAGGAATGTGCAGTTTAATATTTTTAAAAGCTCAAGCTGTTAGACGAAGACATCACCTCCTAGTCTGATACCATGTGAGATTTTGCGGAATCACTGTCAACTGTTCTAAAAACTTAAGCTGTACGATGAAGACGTAGTTTAATATTTAAAATAATCTAACAATCACCCTCGTGCGTAGGCCGGATTTTTGGTGTAAACCTAAAGCGTGAAAATATGTAATTGGAGAGGCAAACAAGGACGATGTGGTTTAATATTTAAATAGTCTATCAAATTCTACATGCTTCACCATTTAGAGACTGGCTACATATAGTTTCACATAGTTTTTATTTTCTGGTTTCTCCAAGAACTCATCGCTTCAGAATTGATTTTTTTATAAGTGTGCTTGTCGTTTTATCTACATGATTTGGAAAGAATGGATGGCCTTCACAAGGATGAGATTGCAAGAACGCTGGCTTAGATGAGACAAATTTCAACTGGATAAAGAGAGGATTTTGAAGAATCTAGAAGAAAACTAGGTGAATAGCTCCATAACTAGTAAATCACAAAACAATGGTATGGAAGGGACAAAAGAGCATGAGGAATCTCAGGATCAATCTGCCGGAAGAAGACAGGTTTATTTCTCCACATCATACTTTTTGTGGAAGGGACAACTTATTAGTCCCTATCTATTAGTCCCAAAAGTTTCCATCCTTGCTAATGCGGGTGATCAATGTCAATGTACAATAAATGATTCACGGTAAGTGTTGCCTCTGATTAAGGTCTTTAGATTTCTTATCGTTGTGTATAATCAATGTCCAATGCAAGTTCTGTTAGCAGAACTTAGCTGACTACTTCAGTGATGGAAATTTTTAGTCTCTCTTGTTTCAAATGACTCCACTTCATTGCTTCATTGAGGAGATCATGCATTCTGTAGACAGCACCCGCCTGCTCTGCTTCACAGTGACGTATACTAACTAATCAAGGTCAGCTGCTGCTCACAATTCACTGTTGCTTCTCTTGGTCAGTCATTGCTTGACATTGTCTGAAATGTAACGTCTTATGTTCTCTTATCATGATCGAGCCTAAGTCATTTTCCAGCATGATGAGTTACAAATATCAAGAAATTTAAAACCACCCGAGAAGGAAGTCCTCTCTTTCTTCACACTCAGTTTGATCGTTAATGAGGAACTTTCTGTCGACTATTCTTTGAGCTGTAATAAGGGGTAAATGATCTTCACCTGTAAGATAAAGGATGAAAGAAGGAAGAAGGTAAGAATGAAAACTAGATCCATTACCCACTCACTTGGCTGAAAGAAAATTTTATGGAAATGTGGAGTTGTAATTGATTCTAGGCTGCCCTGCATTGTGAAAGGTAGCTACACTGCATGCAGAAGTCTTCAGTCATGAAGAATAGAAGATCAAGTGTAGATTAGTCACGTTTATTTAGTGGACTTGGCTTTCATTCAAAGTTCAATATTCCGTCATCATAATTCCTATAAAGAAGTTCCTCAGTTTATGAGATCCACGTTCACTGATCTTATATAGTGTTTTACAGGTGACACCTACACTCGGATTTCTTGTGCAGTTTACATATTAATAAAATTTATGCAAAAGAATGGGCTAAGAGTGTCGTCAGTTCAAATGTTGAAAGGAGATAGGAACACTGAACTGAACCATGGATCACTTTTCTATTAGGAAAGAAACAGAATAATGCAATTACTGAAGAATGAGAAACAATTTTTCTATGATTGTCATCCTATTAGTATGTTCATGTGTGTTAAGGGACTGAAGTTGGTGGCTTGGTTAACATTGCTAGAAGTTCAATGCTAGACTTCAGTCCTCATTTCTGAGTTTTTGGTAATTCTGACTTCCTTTTAAGATAAACTTGTTTCTAAACCTATAACCCCCATCCAAAATGCAGGAAGCTTATCTGATGAGAAGTAGCTGATCAATTCCAGACACTACATGATGCAGAGCAGAACAGTTTGGACACAATTGGTTCCTTGCAGAAATATGTGAACTCCTTGGACAATGAGATTAGCATTGCTCGTTCTTAGGTGCAGTTGGCGTATGTATCCAAACCTATTGATGGCATTTGTCGCCTGTTCACATATGGACATCAGCGAGATGTTAATGATGTCTTTCTTTTTCAAGTACTGAAATCAACTCAATTAAGCATCAATCTGAAGTATGGAAGATGGATCAGGCAATGTAAGCATCTTGACTTTCTTTGTTATTTGTTTTGTCTTTCTCTTTGGCAATGACCGGTCAGTTCAATCATAAGTATTTTCCTATAATGGTGCACTAGTGATTCATTTTATGAAATGTCCCCACAGGATCAAGGTCTCAATGCCATATTGGGAGGATTGGATGCATAGTTAAGTGTGGCTTGTCAATTAGGTTGACCATTGTTTCAATTAATCATATTTCACTGCTAAACAATTTGCTCCTTGCAATTTGTTTCAAAGTTGGATGGGAAACTTCACTAACTCTCTGCAAATTTGTCAATTTCAAATTATTATGGTGGAACAGAAGGTGATCTAGTGACTTGTGTACTCTTGTGCAGAAAAGCTGTAACTGACTTTGAAACCGAAGATGAGCTAGTTACTTGTGCATTTCCGTGTAGAAAAGCTATATCTGATTTTCAAAAGAATATTATCAGGCTCACAAACCCAGGCCTTTTACCCTAATCTTTAGTAGAATGTTGGATTAATCGTTATTTTGGAACTTTGGCAGATGGGATTAACAAAGTTCCTTGTCTTGAAATGATTAATCCGTTGCCTTCCTTAGCACCATTTCGTACACTTACACCTAAACTTCAGCTGAAAATGATATTCTTGCCATAAAATTTAGTCCCTGGAGTATAAGAAGGACAGGCTCGTAGTTGTTTGCAACTCTCTTGTTCTGATTTCACTCTTCTAAAATTAAAGAAACTACTGGATTTCTCAACAACTGGAACTTGGTTCATTCTGCTTTGTCCAAGTTTCTATGCACTCATAGCAGTGACACAAAGTGATTGAATTCATCCCTTAAATATGGTATTTTACTTCCGTCCTTTGAGACCTTAACTAGATATGCTGGTGGTTATTTTGAATCTTCTAGTGGTCTGAGTCACTGACCACTCAATTACTCGGTGTTTTGCTGTTTTCGTGCTTGTAAAGTAGGCATAGGGTTGAGAGATATTAGACTGATGATTCTTAGTTTCTCATTGCTTGTTGAATACACATTACTTGGATATTGACCAAAAGTTTTCCATGCATAACGCACGCAAGGCTGGGTGCTTTCTTCCTTCCCCTTACTATCTGGGAAACTTCATCTTAGACAGCTCACATCAATTTATCATTCTCTTATCAGTTGACAGAAATAAATTAGGAGTAAAATTCATGAAAGGGAAATGTGAACTACAATTTCACTACTTATTTATGGCCTGTATATGTTTGACATAATTATTTGAGAACTGCTTTGAATATATAATGTCTAGAGAGGTATAAGTTGAAAAGGGCAATAATTAATGTTCTTATGTTTCAACAAAAGGGGTGAGGTTAAAACCAACATGCCCTTCTCTTCTCAATACCTCTCTCTCTCTCTCTCTCTCTCTCTCTCTCTCTCTCTCTAATTGTTTAAGAGATCTTCTGCATCTACAAACAAATTGCCAGCGTCCTTTTTTCTAGTCTATTTCCTTTCCCTCTCCTCAAACGTGCTAGCAGGAACTGTTTACTTGCATTCATCACATTACCATTTTATTGGGTAACATATATAGTGAGCTTACAGTTCACATATATCCACTTCCAGTTTCATGATACAATTATAATAATCTCAGAAATATGTATAACATGCAAATGTAGAACTGCGGATCTTGATTTTGCATGCTTTGTCTACAACTTTTGCTGTACACCCTGATTTTGCCTCCTAAATGACCACCTTCAGGAAAGTCATGTCCTCCTGCCAGTTATGTGCTTCATTGCTGTAAGTGTCTAATATATGCTAGATCGTTAAGTTCCTGGAAGTCAATCATGGAATTTGGTGGGATCATGGTGAACATGTTCTTCTGATACTGGATGTGGCTGTACCCATTTGTATCATCACCAGCTACTGTCTTGCCAATTGAATCGTCATTGCTTCTGTTTTTGTTTTGCTTCCTGCTGTCCTTAGCGCATATGCTATGCTCATTCTCCTCAAAAGCTTTCCTTTTTAATGTGTCGACACAATTGCTTGTTGAATACACATTACTTGGAGAATCTATATTATTAGAACTTTCATGATAAACTGAGTTCACACTGTTACCATTCTTGCTGCCTTCAACACTTACATTAGAGATGGTTTCCATGTCAGGTGGAGCTTTCCCAGCCAGCAGGTATGCTATGACTTGGCAATCTTTGAACAGATGATCCACGGTCATATCAGGATTGAAGTATGTGCATGCAGGTTGTGCTGCCTCAATCTCTGGGGAGTACCTTGGTGCTTCAGGTGATTGTCTATCTTGGTTTTCAACGTTCTTTTTAGGTACTTTTGCTTTTTGTCGCACTCTGCATAGCACCCAATCATCCAGCTGTGCCAACAAGAGCCAATATTTCTTTCACTCTTCTAATGAGGTATGATAGTAAATATAGTTGAACATTAACTTCTTTATTGGCCAAGCCATTTAGTAGCATGAAATCTTGTAGAAAAATAGTTTGTAAACATTTATTTAGAGAGAGAGAGAGAGAGAGAGAAAGAAAGAAATGGTGTTGTCATAGGTGCGATATACCCACTTACTCTCATGGACCCTTTGAACCTTGATGGCTTGATTACTGTGTCGAGCAACCTGTATTCATTCATGATCCAATCTGTCTTGGCCGACTTGGTTGGGCGACCAGTATAGAAGACGAGAGCTTTCTTGACTCCTATGCTCCTTGATTCCCCAGAAGCAAGTATAGGCTTGTCGGTTCCTGTTGCTTTCCAATAACCAGAAGCTGCTGCCCTGTTTGGTCTTCCACCATTTGGATATTTTCTATCTCTTGGACTGAAGAAATACCACTCATCTTCCCCAGATAAAGCCTTCTCTGCTGGGACAAAAAGAAAACCAAAAGCCATGAACAAGGAAAACAGGATTTGCAGTCTTAAGTTTCAAGGAGTAAAATGAAACAAGTAAAACAAGAAATTGGTGTAGAACAGACTGGGTAGCTCCCATGGATTATACTTGTACAGATCTATATCGGCAATCACCGGTGCTGGAAGCGGAAGCGAAGTCACCTTGTTTTGCAGGTAATGAATTATGAGTTCTTCATCTGATGGGTGGAACCTAAAACCTGGAGGAAATTGAAAGGTTGAATTGGATTCTTTCTCCATTTGCTGAAGGTCTTTTCTTGTGTCTTAGAAGAGTATGGAGAGAACAATGGAATCAGGAAACCCTGATAGCATCGAGCAATTTAGGAGTACCTTATGAGAGCACAGTGCCAGTGTTATATGGCAGAAATTCATGCAGATGTGGACGTCATTTAAGATAAAAGACAGGAAAGAGCCAAATCAATTAGAAATTGACCCATTTGGTTCTACTTGCTGGAGCTGACCTTAGTCTGCGAACCTCTTGGACACAAGAAGGGATGTCAATAACTGCATCATGGACGAGGGAACCACTTGTTAATGCATATTTATGAGATCAACTTCGGGTTTATCCCTATTTTCCTTTTTTTCCCTATTTTAATCTGGTCATGGCTCAGGAGTTTTGTCGTTCTGGTAGCTTAGCCATGATATAGAGGGGGCTCTGAGCCTTCACCTTATCATCATCCCAATTCTGACCATAGATTGGAAGACAAAAAGATGCAATTGAGGGAATTAGTACGTATTTTTTGTCAATATATTGAAGATCAAGTATACAATTACATGTTCACGTGCCTCGATTTCATGGTTTTGGCTTGTTATCATAACAATTAGGTTCAATGGTCTCATGGAACCCCTTTAATTGGTGTCGACTGGTCATCACTGTTGAGAAGGGAATAGTGATACAGTTTCCTCCAAATGCAAAATCACTTTTGGTCCTTTAATAGGTTAGGCCCGAAAGTTTCCCGAGCAATAGAAGTAGGCACTTGTATTGTTAAGCTATTGTATATACCAAGTAACTAAGAGTTTTAATGTACAGTTTCAGAAACAAAACTTCACTAATTCGACGGTTGTAAGTTGAAACAAACTATTACATAAACAACTTCGAGCTCTAAGTTGTTAGCTATTAGCATCGAATTACCAAGATGAAAAACCTATCCCAGAAGTTTGATATACACTGATTATTGATCGATGAATTTGAACGCTCTCCATGCACCACATGCCTTATTCCATTGAGAAAAGCGGAAAACAACGAGAACTATATGCATCACTGGTGCGAAAAGGTAAAGATATTGGTGCGTTTCCTAATTACATTAATTTGTTTGTCCTAATAAATGCAAACGGAACTCAAGATAGGCATGCATGAAGGATTCTCCTAAAATGTTCTTGATTATTCTAAACCCGGATAGACCTCTAGATTATGACATGAAAAGCAAAAGATGCAAGCCATCCCTTTTGGTTGGATATGATCAATGTATTCTGCAAGTAGGAGCTTTGCTCCGAAACTCTCTGTAGAGATGCTTCTTTTGGCTATATTCATCCTATGACATTGTTCTCACCGAGGGCAAGATATGGGGAATATGCCACGCGAGTTAAAACCGTGGCTCGTTCACGAACATAGTAACGACAGACAAACTTGACAGCTGAACCATGGCTGCATAGATTACTCTCTTTATTTGGAGTCTTATAAGCATGACTTAACGTGTCTTTTCCTCTAACTTCTGTTCTAGACATATCTAAATGGGCGTGGAGTTTATTTGGTATATGTTAACATGTCATTACAGTACCTCCTTCATATCCGCAGTCTGTGGAAAGAATGGGACGTGAGCTGCATTGGCGATTTCTCGGCTTATTGACCAGCGAATATTGTCTAAAAAATCCTAAACCTATTGTACCGAGGTCAATCCAGTCCTAAACCTTTAAATTATGCCGATTTAGTCCTAAGCCTTTTAACGATTTGCCAATTTAGTCTTAAATTTTTCAATTGTGCCAATATAGTCCTAAACATTTTGATGATTTGCCTATTTAGTCCTAAACCTTTTGACGATTTGTTAATGTAGTCCTTCCGGCCAAATAATTAAATAATAGGTTGAGGACTAAATTGGGATGAGCAAGCGCATTGCGAGCAGGAGTGAGTGGTTCCGGGTTCCGTACAGGTTCTACCTAGAATTTAGAACCTACCCATTAGAACAGCTTTCTCATTTTTTGGAATCTGGCACTTACCCGAAACACCTAGAACTTGGAACCCACCCTGTAATAGGTTCCGAGGTATACTCAAGTTCCACTTGTATTATTAATTGAACGATTGCAGTTAAACACAACATTTTATGACCACCATTTACTGTTACAATCCATTGACTACAACTTTTATTTAGACACGTGAAAAATTTGAAACATTAACAAAGTAAAAGTCTTAGTTATAAAATAGAAGTTCAGACTAGTGGTTCCAAATTATGCATTCATCATCGGAACTTACCTGTTAAAATAGGTTTCTCAATTTTTTGAATCCAAAATTTACCATGCATATCTTAGAACTTGGAACAGGACAGGTTTCTACCGGTCGGTTCTTAGATTCCAGACTCACCCCTATACCATGGTACAATGATTGATCACCCAGGATTTAGAATACTATATTCTTTTCTTAGGGCGGGTTCGCGGCCGAACCGACTTTGGCATATATCAGATAGAAACTAGAGATTTAGCTTGGAGCTGTTTGGAAGAAAGTTCCCCGCGCAAAATCCCCTGAATAAGAACGAAAAAGTTAGACGATGGTACCCAGGTCCCATGCCCTCCTTTATTGGAGAAGACCAGGATAAGATCCCGGACATTATCTGTTTAGAAGTCAGTAATACACCTTCACGTTTTGAGCCTTGTTAGAATCGACGAAACCTTGTTTTTTTCTTGCTGAAGAAACTGATGTTTAGGATCCTCGGAGTTGGTGCTCCTGTCTTCTTATGCATTGACGGACATGTGGTGGGGGGACCATTTTCATCTCCTGCGTGACAAAACCAGACGGAGTTTTCACCGTCGTCGAATTGGGTCACCCGAACGAATTGTTGCTGCAGCATTGTTTTCCTTTTAATAGAATGTTGCTGTATCAGTGAAAGCATATGACTACAGTTTTAGGAAAAGGGAGCGAGGCCCCCCATTCCACGCAACTTTATATTGACAATCCATCCGACTTTAATCTAATCGAGTAATGTTAGGGACAGCGGGACTGGTTTACGACCCAGCAAATTGAAATTACGTGCTTAAACGAGATTGTCATATGCAAGCACTCGTTAAGGAGTAATTCGTGAATTTATTTTTCTTAGTTGATTTAAATACATGTAGCATTATTGATTTTAATCTAAGCCTAAGAGAAGTCGTTAACAGTATATCCTTGCACTTGCATCCCTTGTTCATGGGTGTCTCTAGGGCTCTTATTTTGGTTGCTGAGGCTGGGGAGGGGGGCACCTTTTCCTTTTCAATTGGCACTGATTTGTCAGTCGAAAATTAATGTACTCTCTCGTTTTCCATAGAGCCGAATTTTTACTAGAGTCAGGAGAAATTGTTGCACATCCCGAGTATGCGAGCTCGGCTCACATGAACTGTTAGATCATATGGGCGCACGTGGGCAAACTTCACTAACGGTAGATGTTATTCGGGCTCACATGAATCGAGTTCACGCAACAATTCTCCCGCAAACGATTGTAAAGGTCTGCACCCCGAAAATAGGGGGAGGATGGTAAGAGATCATAAGGGCTCGATCCGTGGTGAGTCATGCTTCGTTTTGAATGATACGGGCCGTATTGCCCATAGTTTAAGAAGCAGGCCCAATCGTTAGCCCAGATACACAAGGGGCATTGAATGTTTTAGAAGAGAAACAATATGCAATGCAAGGGAAGGGAACTAGTCGCCTGTCGTGGATCAGCAATCGAACTTAGCTAATCCAAAGTTGAAGCTCACGTAGGATGTGTCTCATTAGTTTGTGTTGAGATTCTTCATCAAGACATGTCATATTGAGCCGTCGAACGGGGTAAAACAGGGTGCTTTAGGATAAGATAAAAAAAAAATATGGAGTTCGACGTCTGTGGACAACACTTAGATCTCAGTTGGTATCATGAGTTGAGCAGACGGTCAAAAATTGGACGAAGAGACGACTGCTCTAGATCGACAACTAGACTCGTTAAAGAGATCGAGGGGAAGCATCGGTGAAGTTCAATGCCTCATATCGAAGGGATTCAATAGAAAGTTCATAAATTGAACCCAATGGCATATCTAGTTAGATATATATTCATTCAAAAACATAACTCATTGGATTATGGACAGCCTAGACATTGTCAATCGGTTCTTTTAGCATTTAGAAACCTAACGTGAGACTTTGTTCTTTCACACCTCTTACACGTGCATGCAACAGATATATAATAACTTTAAGATGGAAATTTCACAAGCTCTTTGCACTTTTATGGGATTTTACATACATGTTTTACTTCTCAAAATCTTCTGCCGGTCCACCAGTCTGATGTTGTGCAACAGACAATACTTTCGCTGATCTTGTGCAACAGACAATACTTTCGCTAATCTTGTGCAACAGACAATCCTTTCGCATTAATATATCATTTTCTCTGTGTTAACAAGTTTAAGGTTTGGGGCATTTTTAACACAAGAAAAGGGAATAAGAATAAATAGAAGTGTCATAACTTTTATACGATGCTCATTTGAGTGTCATAAATTTTTTTCGCTCATTTAAATGTCACATTGGAGTAAAATCAATCATTTGAGTGTCATTTCTGGCAAATCATCATACGTGAATTTTTTACTTAATTTTCCCTTTCCATGTAAATTTTTTTATTTCTTTTTAATTTTTAATTTTTAATTTTTCTTTTCCTTTTCTTTTTTGTGCTGGTGAGGGTCATGGTGACCCTTGCCAACCGCGAAGGCCTCGCCCTCGATTGGTGGGGCCGTGAAGGCCTCGCCTAGGGCCATGGTGGCCTCGCTGGCCGTAGTTAGGGCACGAAGGCCCTCGCCAGATCTGGCAAGGCCGTCTCGCCCGCAGCCAGTGGGGCCATGAAGGCCCTAGCCTACATCTAGCAAGGGCCTTCGCGTTGTTGCCCGTGGCCGGTGAGGCCGTGGGCAAGGCCTTTGCAACCGACGAGGCCGTGGGCAAGGCCTTTGCAACCAACAAGGCCGCAAGCAAGAGTCGCCACTGACCTTCGCCAACACAAGAAAAAAAAGCAAAAGAAAAATAAAAAAAAATTGTCCACGTTGGATTTTCAGGTGAGACAAATCGTCAATGACATTTAAGTGATTGATTTTTTAAATTTGTGGCACTCAAGTGAGTGAAAAATAAAGTTATGACTCTTAAGTGAGCGCCATATAAAAATTATGATATTCCTGTTATTGTTATCTGTTGTAAAAATGTTACCCTATCTGAGAACCGATACTTTCCTCCGTATAATGACTAAATCATCTTGTCGAACCCCATTTCCTAAGGTACAATAAGCCTTTCAAGACTGATTTGTTTAATTATTCATTATACTTCCGGCTCTCGTCCATTGGAATGAATGTTACCAAAGTCAAAGGACTGGGCTCCATCAAAGAAACTCACCAGTAGGAACCTTCCTACTTTGTACACTTTCTCTCTCTGTCTCTCTCTCCCTCTGCCCGCGTCCATGTGACGTTAAAATCCTTTTGATTGGCCAAAATTTCAGATGGGACCTGCCGATCTCATCCTGTCTTAGTGAATTTGGTGAATCTGATGAGGTTATATGATGATGCTTGACACAAGTATATCAAGTTGGTTCTCAGTTGTCACCCGCCCCCTGCTGTTTAAGTTAAACGAAATACGACTCAGCTTATGAGCTCGATATTATTGTCCGTCAACCTTCTTGAACTCATGTCGAAACCGCAGAACAAGGCCTGTGCTTATGATTGAATCAGTCGGGCACGCATAACAACTTATACCCATCATCTTAAACTCGCACATTTCGTTGCAAAGACTTCGTAAGGGATCCATAGATATCGAGAGTTGGTCAACAATGCATCTTTCCAAAACGCTCAGAATATGAGCAAGCGGGGCTACATCGCCGATCGCTAGGATTCTAGAACGGGCAAGACGCGCGAGATCAAAACAGGTCGGGATGTAATTCGACGAACGGGTCGGGGACTACGGGCAGTATTTCTCCATTGGAGGGGCCTTCCCCATGCTCTGTTCCGTAAGCGTGTTCATTGACTGTTGACTGCAGACGAGCGGGGCCCGACGGTCCCCACGCTGTCCAACCTAATCCCCCCGCCAGTTTAACGAGCCAGGTCTCACGGACGGCACTCGAGTCAGTGGAATCTGTGGATCTTTGATGATGTGCAATTATTTGACACGGACTGTCGATCGATTTGCCCTTTTACTTTTCAAATTTTCCCTTCTTCATTTTTCTTCACCATGATGAGTGACCGTAAAGGATGACAGCTTTTTTGTTCATCGCTTTCTCACCGTCTTTCCCTCGCTCGGCCTTTTAGGAATCCCATGTCCTGAACCCCTGATTCGACCCTTTTTAACCCCCTTTTCAGATTTTGCGGGGAACTATCCCTGCCTTTGATGCGTGTCGTTGTTGTCCGAGACTAATCCCACTCTCAGAAAGTTTTGCTTGGCGACGTACGGTAATCTTTCGTGAAAAGAAAACGAAAGTTCGTATACGAACGTAGCGGAGGACAGCCCCCGATTTCGAAATCCTTGCTTTTGCCACGATGGACTTGATAATTGCTGCCCGTGCAATAGGATTGCCTTTCCGGGCAAGTTTATTCATGTGTAGCCCGGTTGGAGTAAAAAGATAGGCAGTGAATTATGCAGTCTACATCTCTGATCCTTATCACCCAAAGACAATGTACTAATCAAACTCTGTTTGCATATCCCTTTCATCGTTTCTTCTTACTTCCCACATGGAGAGAGAGAGAGAGAGAGAGAGGGGTCCAGCTAAGTCTATGGCTGACCGACTTTGACAAGAGCCGTGCAAGATAAGGAGAGCATGAGAGAGAGAGAGAGAGAGAGAGAGAGAACCAAACTCCATTGTTGCTAGCTTTTACACTTCTCTCTTATAATTAGTGATGACTCAGATGTGAAGTCTGCAGCAAGAGTATGATTGAACAGATAGAGTAGGAACCCAACGGGGTTCATTGATTTCAGGGACGAGAGATTGATCTATCTCTCTATATGCTTCTCCCTCACTCCACTCACTCTTTTCGAGTTCTACTGCCCTCTTCTTTTAGAATAGCATTTTTGTAGCTTTTGAGGTTCATTTTCCCCTCAAGAAAAGACCACCCAGTTACAAATATCAGTGCAGAAGATGTCTGGAAATGGGCTTGTTTCAGTCAGAGAAATTGCTCAAGACCCCAACTCTAATCCAATCAATAAAAAGAGAAACTTGCCAGGAACACCAGGCAAGTCTGAACTTTTTCCACTAACAGCTTTTCGAGTTTCAAAGGAAGCTCTCGTTTTATCTTACCCTCGATTATTATCTTTCGAATGTTCGAGCAGATCCAGATGCTGAAGTGATTGCTCTATCCCCGAAGTCTCTGATGGCCACCCACCGCTTCGTCTGCGACATATGCAAGAAAGGTTTTCAGAGGGACCAGAACTTGCAGCTTCACAGGAGAGGACACAACCTTCCATGGAAGCTGAAGCGAAGAACCAAAGACAGAGACCCGCCAAGAAAGAGAGTTTACATATGCCCAGAGACAACCTGTGTCCACCATGACCCATCAAGAGCTCTTGGAGACCTCACAGGGGTGAAGAAGCACTACAGCAGAAAGCACGGGGAGAAGAAGTGGAAGTGCGAGAGGTGTTCAAAGAAATATGCAGTCAAGTCAGATTGGAAGGCTCACAGCAAGATTTGTGGGACTAGAGAGTATAAATGTGATTGTGGCACCGTCTTCTCCAGGTAATTTCATTCACTTTGTCTTATTTCATTCGCTTGTTTTGGACTCTCACGTGTATAGTTCAGCTTTCTATATTGCACTGAAATGATTGGGCTGGTTGAGGGAAATATAAATGAACACACTGGGCGTTTTCATTGTCTTCATTTGATTGCAACAGGGGCTCTGTCATTCCTATTTATACTGAATTAAATTGAGATGGTTTCTTATTGCTGCGATCATGCATCATGATACAGGAAAGACAGCTTCATCACCCACAGAGCCTTTTGTGATGCTCTAGCTGAAGAGAGCACAAAATTCAATTCCTCAAACTTCAGGAATGACCCAACACTGGCTCCTCCTCAGTCAGTTGCAACAATCCCTCCTCAATCAGTTGCAACAATCCCTGATAATTTCAGAATACTCGGCCCGGAATTCGGTAATCCCCATCTTAACAGTTGCGGATTTGCCGGTACATCTGCCAACGCATTCTTAGCTTCAATTTTCGGCAGTGACCGACCAGAATTCGTTCCTACAGTGCCGATGAGTATTTTCGGGTCGCCAAGCACGTCCTTATTTGGGTCCGGTCCATCCGTCTTGGAGTTGCCTCAGTGTGTGAAGGAGGAAGAAGAGAGCAAGAGTTCAATATCCGATGCAGTGAGTTCTTTGTATGGTTCAATCGATCAGAATCATCCACAACAACAAAGCCAAGGTCTCATGTCAGCCACTGCACTCTTACAAAAAGCAGCAATACTGGGATCTACCATGGCCAATCCACCACTCATCAGTGACGTGGGTCTCGGACTAATGAGCTCATCGTCATCTTATTTACCCAATGCTTCAAATTTCTGTTCCCTTTCTCAGAACTTGAATGAGTCAATACTGAGTTCATTCTCCTCTCCAGTCACTTGTTCTCCTGGAGGAGATCATGTGCTGGCCTTCGGCGATACAGACTCGAGCTCACCGACAGCCGAAACTGAGAACACGCTGAGAAATATGGTGATGCAAGCCAATGGGAACGTGAGCCAACCGAGAGTTGTTCAAGGGAAGCTGAATCATGCATTAGTTGAAGGCAATTTGACTAGGGATTTTCTCGGTGTTGGAGGCAAACCGAGTTCACACGTCAACCAGCAAGTGCTAGCAGATTTTGCTTCACTGGGGTCATTGTCCACGGATTTGAGCCCAGTACAGTTTACTTAGCTATGCCAATATAAATGATATCTTGGTCTAGAGCTCTTTCATGTACTGATAGAATTCATGAAAGAAGCAAGCTCGTTCATACTTAAAGATATCCTGGGAAGGTAGAATGATGAAAGCTTAAAGCTTCAATCAAGCCTGTCTTTAGCTAATTCGCGCAAGCGGCGACCCAAGTATATTGGAACGACTCGTCACTGTGCATTGGTTTTAATGATCGAGAGGACGAAGGCAAGAACGGGAGATGCTTTGATTCCCTACATAATTAAAGTGCAAATAATTTTATATACGAGTCACCCACTATAAATTTTGACTCGCATTTTATTTAATGCACGAGGTTATCAATTCATTATCCACAGATTTGAGCCCAGTACAGTTTACTTAGCTATGCTAATATGAATTATATCTTGGTCTAGAGCTCTTTCATGTACTGATAGAATTCATGAAAGAAGCAAGCTAGTTCATACTTAAACATATCATGGGAAGGTAGAATGATGAAAGCTTAAAGCTTCAATCAAGCCTGTCTTTAGCTAATTCATGCAAGTGGCGACCCAAGTATATTGGAACGACTCGTCACTGAGCATTGGGTTTAATGATCGAGAGGACGAAGGCAAGAACGGGAGATGCTTCGACTCCTTTACAGAATCAAAGCGCATATAATGTCATATTTAAGCCATCTACTTAGATTTTGACTCGCATCTTATCTAATGCATGAGGTGAACGAGATATTTCACGAGTAGATTTATCTATTTAAACGAGCTATTCCATCGTCAAGATTGGAGTAAAAAATACGTAAACATTCCATGGCGGCAATAAGAAAGTAAACTTTAAGCAACTTGAGCGACGGGGTCATCTCTTCATGCATGTAGAAGTGTGAAACGTTTTACTCTTGCATTGTACGTCCACGTCGTTTCACACATTAACATCACACTCCACTAGCAAAATTGTCAAAGTGCTGCTGTGACTAATTGGAATGGATCTTCACATGCTTCGGACATTATTCTTCTCCAATTCTCACTCAGTAGATTGTCCTTCGATCACACGTAATTTCCAGAAGACCGCAGACTTCGTTGACCAAAGTCTCCCGTCGAGTAAGCTCTTGATTAGATGGATGGATGGCGGATCTTACAAGTCATTCTGTACAATCATTGGGGCAAAGCACATAACAATTTCTAGGAATTTGATGTAGTCATTATGAATTATTGATGTCTTTGATTCCTTACACAGACCGGCAGGCAATCTTAGCGCGCCAACAAATCCGGGACCGTAGCAAATGGAGCGGGATAAGGATGTCATTTGAACGGAGATGGCGCTGTATACGTCGTTTTCAAAATACTACTAGACCCGACACGCACTATCCCCTTGGTTATGCCTCAAATCGACAAACTATTCCTACTTTTCATAAGCTTTTGCAATCTTGTGTGCGCATTTTGGACTTTGTAAAGAAGAGATAGAATTCAATTTCTCCTTTTGAAATGACAGTATAGATAAGATAAATAATAAAGAGACACGTTTATGGCCATTCTCTTTGCAAGTAGTGTGCGGTGAACAAATGAACAGGGGATTGATGTCATACTGCGTTTAAAGAATCTCAAGGCTTATGATGTCGAAACAGAGAGAATTCCGAATCGAGCTTTATGAGCTCTTCTCGGGTATGCATGGATCACTGATTTCTGTCATAATTTGAACTTTGAAGGAGAATAATGCATGGCCAAACTTTCATGATGATGATACGATTGGCCCAAGTTGAAAGCACCTAAAAAAGGTCAGACCCAGGCAAGATGCACAAGCCCAATGCACTAACCCAGTTCAGACTTCTTTACTGATGGCTTAATCGTTGCGTCCTCGTCCTCGTTTGAATGATATTGGGAATCTTTGTGATCCCTTGTTTATAGCCAGCCAGTCATCAGGCAATTTAAACATCTCATCAATGGATGTTATATGTTTTTCACTTCCTGACAGATGAAACTTCTTAATCAAAACTGAGAACCGAACCGGTGGCCCGGTGGAAACCTGTCCGATTTCAGAGTTCCAAAGTATGCAGAGTAGGTTTTATATTCCAAAAATTAGGGAATAGATTACAGGTTCTAGGTTGGTGGAACTTGAAATCTAGGGCAAGTTTTTGTGTTTTTATTGGTCTATATCTTCACGCGATCCTGCGATATTCCATGACATCCGATGCTGAATGTATAATCTGGAACTACTAGTTTGAGCTTCCATTTTATGACTAAGACTTTTACTTTGTTAATGTTCCATATTTTTCGTGTGTCTAAATATAAGTTGTGGTCAGTAAATTGTAGCAGCAAGTGGTGGTCATAAAAGATATTGTTTAACTGCAATCATTCAATTAATAATACAGGTGGAACGTCGAATCTAGGTAGACCACGAAACCGACCCTGAAACTTGTGACAGGGGAGGTTCCAGGTTCCAAGGTATGCAGGGTAGATTTCAAGTTCTAAAAAATGAAAAACCTGTTTCGACCGGTAAGTTTTAGGTTCCAGATGGAACCTAAACAAACCTGGAACCGCTTACCCCTATTCTTAATTCCATCTTGTAGCAGACACAGTATTGTATGAAAGAGCTTTTGCTAAGTATTACCTTGTAAGAATGCTTGTGCTGAATTCGTATGATCCTACATAGTTAGATGCAAAAGAGAGGTTGATGTTGTCTGTTCTAGTGTTCTCCCCTGAATTTTGAGTTACACATGAAGATGTAATGTTTCTAGAAAAGACTTGAACAAGGTAAAATCCCTTACGGTTTTTTGGTAAGTCGTGTTCGTTCTTGTCCAAATGGTTCCTATTTTGCTATTGGTTAGCCGGTTATTTTGATGCGTACCAAAGTGAATGCAATGTTTTCTCAGTTATGTGCAAGAGTGACTGATGACATTATTCAGTAGTGAGTAATACTCTGTGCAGGTTAACATAATGGCTGTTAGGTGTATTAATGCTTTCATATTATAGTGCTGGAGGAAGCAAACTGAAGAAGAAGAAGATCAATTTCACAATCCAGGAACATACAGCACCTCCTCAGATATAATACAACAAAATAAATGAGTACATGAAAACTGAAAGCAGGGAACACAGGAAAGAAAAGGAAAAGGAAAGAAAAAAGAACAGACTTTGACTCTTTTTTTACTCTTTTTCTCTCGTCACTGGCATGTTCTACCATCGGGACTCAAATTTATTTCAAATCACTGACCACATCTCTCACTGCCCTTCAACCAAATTCACCAAATAATAGCTCATTGCAAATTTCAAAAGTGACCCCCACCTCAGTGTTTCAAGCTGATCATTCTCGTAATGTCTCAAACTTTCCTTGTCACGAGTAGAATGTCCCAACAACAGTCAATCCAATGACCACCATCATTCCAGGCACCATCAATTTCCCTTCACCAGATGTGTCCACCGGGACGCTGTCGGCTACCGGGCTCGTTGCCAAAGCCGGCTTCTTCTTTGGCTTTGCTGGGGCAGGTGCCGGCGCGGGTGGCTTCGGGCCAAATATGTTCATAGGAAGCAGAACCTTGTCGACCAGATACACAGCCAACTGCCCGTCTGAAAATATAATTTGGTCCACTGTTGCATTGTTGACACCAGTCGATATGTTCACATTGCTACCGGAAGTAGTCAAGGTCAGCGGGAACTCGAACTTCCCGCTACCGCCGGCCTGTGTCCTCAGCGGATTGCTGACGGTTTGGAATTGGGACACAGACAAGAATGACGGGACTACATGGAACTGCACGAGCTCGACCTGCTGCTCAGCTGAGAGCTGGTTCAAAGTCCCAGACTTGAGGCCCGAGAAGGCGTTGTCATTCGGGGCAAAGATGGTTAGGCCATTGTTCGAATTGTTAAGTTGCGCATTGATCTGTTTGTCGACTGAGGTGACCTTCATGAGCTTGAGCAGCACTGTGAATTGGCTCGCCTTCGTAAGGATCTTCGTGATGTCATCTGGGCCTGCAGGAACCGGGCCTAAGAGAGGCGGAGCCGGGCCTAAGGCAGGCGGAGCAGGCGGAGACGGAGCAGGTGGAGACGGGGCTACAACAGGTGAAGCTGGGGCTGCTGCAGGCTGAGCCGAGGTGGTGGAGCATTGGAAGAGCAGGACCAGTAGGAGTGGAAACGAAAGGCTCTTCATCATGTTTCTTTCTTTGCTCTTGGTAGGGGGGAGGTGGGGGAGAGGGGGGATTGTGAAGAGAGGACAGTGAAGAAGTGGTGCTTGAAGAAGCCTTTTTGGATGTGTGAGGGAAGAGGAGGGAGAAAGTGGCAATTTATCTGAAATCTGGGAAAGAGAGTGGTGATCATCAGAGTGGGAGAAAATGAAATTAGGTGAGAGGTTACAATTTTTAGTTAGGGGAATTCAGTAGTTAGCACCTCAATGATAAGTGTTGTGCCAAAAGCAAAACATGGATGAAATAAATGGGAGAGAGAGAGAGAGAGAGAGAGAGAGAGAGAGAGAGAGCTGTGGGAACATTCACTGTTACAGCAACTAGTTTGCTTGAGAAAGCAGGAAATATAGTAGAGGGAGATCAAATGGCCATGGCAAATCAGGCCATGCATGATTGCTTGGGTTTCACTTTGTATTTATTTCTGGTACAAAATCAATTTTCTTGCCAACAAACTTAGGAGAGACGCTTTTGCAGCTTCCCATCTCCTTTGGCAAGGGAGATGAATCGAGATTCTATGTTTGCTGCTGAAAAATAGGGCCCAACACTCTCATCACCTTGATGAGGATTGAGTTGACTTCTGCATAGCAACTTTGGGTGTGCGAATTCCCCTTTCTTTTTTTCCCTAGTACCATGTTCTTCGTCATTGAAATGTGAAACATAAGAGTGGGGTAATGCATACTTGCAAGCACCAAACGTCCAATAGTTTTAGAAATTTGCATTTCTCAGCTGTGATTGAAAAGAAAAGGCATCCTGTTACCAATCGAGCATTCGAGCTAAGGAGTAAGACTAGCCAGTGCTATCCATCTGCTCTGTAATGCATCCATGGATACATATTGAAGAGGAAACAGACATTTCACCTCACCCATCAATCCTTGTTAGGTTTTTTAGATGCCTAGTTACAAACAGGTGATTGGCTCTGCGGAACATAAATGAGAGATATCATCCGCTTAATAAACCGACCTCTTCACCACTTTCGTCTGAATGGACTAACTGAAATCTCAACCATATTGGATTTGTTGATAATCTTGTCCTTAATGATTGACATGTAAGTTCTTCCCATGTTTGCAGCCGAAAGCAGGCTCTTTTATGCTATCGAAAATGACTTTTCTCACGCACGAACTATTTGCTACGCTCCAGCCCCCATCATATCGCGCTGGACATTAAAAGACTGCATTAGAAGCCTCATTATAGCTGTTCTCTACAGTTCTGTGTCACTGCAAATGGTTTGTATGCCACACCCTTCAAGCATAAGACACCTTTCGCGGTGGCCCAACAGCTAATCTTCGACGCCTGTTGTCTGGTTAGATTTAATATTACTCATTTTACACACCCACACACACAGTACAACAACATAAATGATAGTCATGGGTAAGATTCGCAATCGATCATCCCAGCATGATCTGTCTGTAACTATCTCGACATTCGCCTTTCCATTTCTGATGGCTTAATCATATTTGATCATTACCTGCTTCCTAAGCCGAAAGAGCCAGAGCTTACGGCAGTGAGTCTCTGAATCCAGTGGATAGGGATCTGGATATCCATTCTTCAAAACTATATTGCAAATTATGCAACTCTCCTCATTAGACTCTCTCCTCGTTTGCATGAATAGATTTACATAGATAGATCTCCATATCTTTAGTATACAACTAAAAAGAGATCTAACATAGGCCGAGAATCAGATTAACTATGAAGTACTTGTCCATGACAAATTGATTACAAAACATTGAACTCCCCACAAGAAGCTACCTCACCATCCATGTCAGCAATGCATGAGATTTTATTTTTTTTTTTGGTCAGAAAGCGATGCATGAGATTACATGCTGAAAAAATTACCAGAAGTATAAGCATTTCCCTTCTCCAATGTAAAATGCCACAAAATTCACCCATATGGACATCATCTGCAGCTAAATGTAGGTTCCCATTTTGCTGGCTCTATTCTCTTATAGAACCAAATAACAGGATAAGATGCTCGTACAAATCGAAGCCTCTCAATTGACAAAAGTTACAGTTTCTTGACCTAAGATTAGTATCATATCATGTCTCTTCTGGTTTCCTCTCTGCCAGTGCATCTGCAGCTTTCATTTTCTCTGGAACGAAATCTAGCACACAACCAAATGTCATCGAGTAGGTCATACTGTCATTGGACATACGAATGATCAATACCAAAAGTTTATGATCAAAGCAGACGTATCAATATGGGTTTGAAAAACAAGTACCTGAAAGAAAGTCGTATCTCTTCCACTCGCAAACAAGTGATGCTGAAGTAAAACAGAACACACCAGAAACAATCAGTATAATAAGATAGTTTAATGCCTAATCTCCATATGTCAGACAACCAAATTCAGACTCCAGTAACTTGAGTCATTGAAGTGTCATAAGTACAGTAGGGCTCAAACACGTTAACTCGCAATAAAGATAATCAAAATAAACCTTGAGAGAGGCATCAAGTTCATCCAAGCAAGTACAACAAAAGATAGCTTTGCATAATTATTTCACACTATAATATATTTCAAAAGTTTTCCATGTTCAGGTTGAAATCCCCATTCAACCTCTCCGCTAGCAAGGAGAATTTACGTACTTAAACAAGAATTGCCGTTTTAAGTTGAATTTCACAAGGACCGGACAAGACCAACAGTATCTCTGGAGGAGAATAAATGAAAAGCAGAGCGGCAGACAATTAAGCTAGGTTAATTTCGAGTTTCCACTAGGAAATCAGATGACACAGCTCCTTTTCAGGGGAAGACATAGGCTTCATGAGCCAGATATCGAGTGAATAATTTACTGACCGTACTACGTCAAGCCATACCCAAGGAGCCTCCTCCCCACCCTCAATCCTCGTAAGTTTGTTCGAAGAAACTTCAAAGTGCAATCATTTCAGAAATCACTTCTAAAAATAACCGAAAGCCATTCATGAAATTCAAATAGCCAACGAATCCACAACATTTTAAAGCATCATTTAAGTAAATCAAGGCGGGACGAAAGTTCACTCAATGCCGAACCTTACAAGGCGAAACTCGGTATGACAATAACATCAAGCATTCAATTCTTTTTGCAGGAGCTGGAGTTCGAATGAAAAGGAGAGAGTAACTCACACAGGTGGTCATACTTGAAAGTTCTCTTACGATCGCGAGCTGCAGCTAAGCCATACGCATCTTCGCAAAGCTGTTCGATAAACTTTTCCTGCAACAATCCCAAGGAGCTGAATGAGAACCAGAAGCAGGACACATTGCTTCGTCGATCGCAAAGCAAGTATGCATACATCAAATGATCGAAATACTAAAGCTGCATTTGGAGTGATCAGTGATTCCCAGGATTCTAGCAATATGGGAAATGCTGCAGAAACAAGAATGGAATTGCCAAACAAAACCAGAGCTCGAACAAGCATATACCGTGGCTTTGTTGATGACGAAGTAAGCCTCGTGATTGATGCGCAGGTCGGATTCTTCGCTCTTCGCGATCGTCCTGATCCTGTTCATCGGGAAGCTACAGAGCTTCGAATCGTCCCTGCTCCCGTCGCCGTCCTCCTCTCGCTCCCGACGCCTCCGCTTCTTCCGGACCGCCGCCGAGCCCGCGACGCGCGGCTCGCGCACCTTCGCGCTCCGATCCCCCTTCGCCTCCCGCTCCCCTCCCTGCGACTCGGTGCTCGAGGACGGAACGACCAGCACCTCGGGTTCGCGCGCCGCGACGCCATTGCTCTTGCTCGATTTACGCTCCTCTTTGCTCGCGCCGCCTTCCTCCGGCTCCCGATGCTTCCGCCTCCTCTTCTTGCCCGCCTGATCGGCGCCGCGCTCGCGCCTCTCCGGGCTCCGGTTCCTCCTCGGCTCGGGCTCCCCCGCCTGCGATTCGGTGCTCGAGGACGGGACGACGAGGACCTCGGGTTCGGGCGCGACGCCGTTGCTCTTGCCGGCCTTAGGCTTCTCCGGCTTGCTCTTGACGGCGGGGGCGGGGGCGGGGGCGTCGGCTTTGCTCTTCTTGCTCGACGCCTTGGAGATTCCCGCTCTCTCCCTCGATTTGGTCGTCTCCGTCATCGCTCGCCGTCCCGCGAATTGGCGCCGATTCTTCCTTTTCGCAGAGCGATCGAATTCGAGGGAAGATTAGGGCACAGCGTGAGTGATTTGGGGATTCAGTTTGATCATGGGCCGTTTCGGCCCGCCTGCCTCGCTCTGGGCAGGCATTTGAGATTTAACTTTCTTCTTCGCTGGCTTTCTCTCTCTGGCTTTTCTCTCGTTCACATAATGAGTAGTCAATGAAAGCTATGGAAATGGAAACCAAACATGGCTATTTTGTTGCCACCAGAGCACATTCTCTGTAATGGTATTTCGCCGAAACACTGTTACAGATGCCTGATCAGGCAATCCTTGGCCGGCTTACTCGCTATTGACATCCGTGCTCGCCCTCACCAAGGAAATTTCTTTGCGGTACCGAGAGCACTGCAATGTTGTTGAGGTTAGCTAGAGCATTTCCAAACATTGTGTCACAAGGATGGCGTAGGTTCGCTACCGTGTGCAGTCTACTATGTCGTCTTTCTGTTTCGTTTATCGTGTGTTTTATCGGGTCGAGCGAATGCATCTCTTGCTTGCCGTTTGTGGGCGGAAAACCGAACTAGCAAGAGGTAGTTCTTGTCCCCTGCAACAGTACACATCATGAGGTTGCGCATCTAGTTATATGTACTAAACTTAACTTTGATAACTGCCATGTTCAGTTGGTGCAAGTTTCGTCGACCTTCGCGACTATTAAGCAAAATTAAAGGGGAAAAAACAGTTCACGAAGGACTCTTTTCGACTCGCGGGACAGACCAATCGATGATGCTTCGTTTGCTGTTATGAAGGGACGTAGAAAGGCTCAGGTACTTTCTTCCTGAGAAATTGCTGTTACCAAACGAAGATAAGTTTTCAGCAGAACACGACATGATGGGCCAATTTGTCCCTTATTTTGTACACGCACAAATCATTCAAGCACAAAGCAGAAGAACCCCCCTAAACGAAGATACAAACACAGACGTCTACTTTGATTGAAATGAGAAAAAAGGAACGATCTTTTTCTTGTTATCAGCATGGTTAGTACTGAGCAACACCCATAGCATACCCAGTTGGTCCCTTGAACCTGCAGACTTTGCAGAGAGGTGACAAAAGAGATGGTGCTTGGTACTTGTCCTCACCCCCCATCATCGGCATCGGAACGCCGACCTTCACAGGGCTCGCATAGTTTGGCCTGTAAGTCTTGCCCAGAACTCCTTCGACAAGGTCCGACAGATTAGAAAACCTGAACTGTGTCTCCAAGTGAGCGAACGCGTCGTCCTTCGGTATTTGATAGTTGTGGACCCGGTTCTCTTCTTCGCCAATCGGCACTACCCTTACGTCCATTTCGAGCAATCCACTCAATGTCACCCTCACGGAGTTAGTATCATCGGTCCTTTCGACTATCACTGTCCTGTCCTCGCCTTCATGCCTCCACTCGGCCTCTCCGTCGGTGGGGACTTGGACCGCCTTATTGTCCCAAGTGATGTTGAGAGCGTCTACTTCATCGTCCCAGTGCGAGACTCTCTTCGCTTCGATGACGAGGGTGTGCTTGTCAAAAATGATCGCGAGGGCTTGCACCCACGTGAAGTCGCGTGTCCGTCCCTTAGGGCGGGTCCCGATGAAGTGGGCATTGATGTGGAGGTTGTCATCGGAGACGAGCGAAAAGTTCCCTCCGGTTGCCCCATGGAAGTAGAACATCACGCCATCGCCGCCGATGAACCGAGGGTCATAACAGAGAGAGCCATATCCATGGCAGTTGGCTTTTCTATCTGCACGAACAAGAAGAAGAAGAGGTTAATATCAATACATGAGCCTGTTCCCCGATAGTTCAAACTTTTTGAGAAGAACGGTTGTGTCAAAGTTGATATCGAGGATTCGTTCATCGTGTCTGCATAAATCTAGCCAAGACTAGAAAGACATCTATCATGCTTGTGTTTCCAAAGTAGCAATCAAAAAACAGCTTAAGACGCAGGACTGTAGTATCAGGAAAGTGTGAGAGAAGCTTGCTTACATCTGCAAGTGGCTTCACACTTGCTGCTGCTGCAGTCAATGTAGCAACCCTTATGCTTCCTGTTCTTCTTAGGCTTCCTCTGCGGGCACTGAGCAGGGCAGGTGAGCGTCTTGAGGCGACACTTGCCGGACGCCACACAAAACGCTCGCTCCTGGCCGGAAGACAATGTTCTTAGCATCACGTACTTTGTCGAATTGGGGTCAGGAGTCGTCGGTTTGTCAGTCGCCCCTTGGACCACGGACGCCCCCAGCGAGACCAGAACCGCAAGGATAGCCATCAAGATCAACGGCTTTCCTACCTCCATCGTCTTCAAGACGCGATCACAGCCCGAAGATGCTTCTCTTAATGTGTCTTCCCTCTGTTGATTATTAGATGCTTACAGCAGAAAATGGGGGATATTCTTGGACGGTTTAGAATGTTCAGAGAGGCCTCTTTATATGGAAACGTGAAAATGTCTAACTTAAACTAGGCCTTGGAGTTCGGCTTAATCCTCGATTTTCTTGCTTCCTAAATAAATATAGGCTTTGACTAACTATCATAAACCATCCTTAACATCTTTTGTAAGTCTTATTTTACTTTTTGAAAGAGCTTAAAGCTTCTATTTGCTTGAATATGTAAGAGATGACCGTGCGCCAGTTGCACTACTATTCGTAATTACTTGAGCTTACAGCAAGCTTATCGACCTCGCCGTCGTATGCTCTACTTAATGTGCTGAAGTTACGGCTATTGTCGTTAGATTCACTCTCTGCTCATTCTCCGAAGCAAAACCCAGGAATTTTTTACTCTAAGGGGTTAGCTGCAAGCTGATAAGTCATAAACTCAGCTTAGGACTTTAGTATTCAAGAAAAAATCCAAGATTCAATCCTCATGGCAATAATTCACTGAGAGGTATACTCCTTGCAAACCCCCCAATCAAAGCAAGGGCCGTGCGATTTTTTGAACTTACGAAGAGTCGTACTTTGCTCAATGTAGAGAATTTTCCCCTTTTCTAGGTTACCAAAAAAAACACAGAAAAAGGTTACCAAAAGATGCCCACGTTGTGAGCTTGAAAGATAGCTTTCGCTAAGGAGGTATGAGCAAGATCCAGCTTAATATGTCCAATTAAAAAGATAAGGATGATGAAAAGAGAAGCGAGTCCTCTTCTCTCCTTTATCGGGAAGCTTGAACTCCACTTATATATTCATAAGCAGATACCGCGTTACGTTTCTGCTACGCACAGTCCATGTGGTTTGAACTTTGAGCCCCCTAAATTCGCCTCGGATCCCCCGGTCTCGCAAACTAAAATATAGGCTGCTAAATCTCAAGTCTACACTAAGGCACCTGTCTGGTTTTTTTTACCTGCAAGAAATTAATAAATGGTTTCTTCTTTCGTTTGCAGGCAAGTCCCGCCAGAGTTTTGAGTTCAACCAGGCATTGACCAAGCAATCTTGGAAGAACTCAACCAACCTTGATTGCTGGAGCAGAAACCCAAAGACATTAATGGGAAAAGTCAAGTGCTGATATTTACAGAAATCAAAAATGGTCATCAGGCTTAAATGAACTTTGGCATACAGCAACAAACAACGAAAGCCTTAGCTATAGAGTGAAGTGTACGTGGATCAAACGCGTTTTAGCAGTTGCTTACATCGGCCACAAAGATGGCACGGTCCACATAGGCCAAAAAATGCCCTACTTTTTACCCATGGGACAGACCTAAACTACCATGGACTCTGCTCCAATAAATCTTCAGTGCTTTGAAAATGGAAATCCATACAGTTAACTCTCGGAATTACTAAAGCTTCATCAAACTCTTTTTTTTTTACAACCGGGACAACAACGTAACCAAATTTTGAAGCAACATCATATACACGTTCAGTACGCAGGAGGAAACATTAAAAGCTGGGCCGAAAAACTAAGACCTGAGGAGAGGTCAAGCATCATAAAGTAACCTATCAATGAAACCAATTTGACTGTGAAAAGAATGCTCCTGGGTCAACGACATGAAAGTGAAACTATTGGAATATGGGAAGATCATTCTTTGGCTGTTGGTCGAAAGTCAAATCACCTCCTTCGACCGCCACAATGCTATTTGAGGCCCCTCCTTCGATTTCACTCGCCATTTTAAGGAAGTACGTATGCCTGCACAAGCAATGTGCCATCAAAGAGGTGCAAGGAGAAAAGATACTGGTGTAGGTAAATAAGTTACCATCGTGAGTCCGCTGTCAACTCTGGATGGAAGGCAGTCCCGAGCAAGTTCCCTTGCCTGACAGCTACAATTACTTTCTTTTCAGCTCCTTTGTTTTCCTAAATGTCACGACAACAAAGAAAGGTTCAGACGGAGATAAATTACAGGAATCTGATATATGGAACCTTTTCTGAAGATATTTACTTTCCTGGAGAGAGAGAGAGAGAGAGAGAGAGAGAGAGAGAAAGAGAGAGACAGATCGCGACACAGTGGCATCTCGATACCCCCAGGTACAAGGAAAAATAATTTCTAAGTAATTAAAAGAATTGAAAAATTGGATCTATATCCGATGAATCACCTACTAAGGAAAAGTAACTCATTGAACAATGCAAACAGAAAAATCTGGTGTATTTACTAATTGAAGAACAAAGTTTAGGCAATTAGTATTCAGACTAACTTCAATAAATGTATACTCCAAACAGGAAAACAAGAACAAAAAGCTCGAATAATTCTTCTACAAAAAAAAATGATGGTCCAATAATAACTTCCACATCAAGATGAACCAACAACATTAAAAAAAGGTCATAGAAGAAAACTTCCACAATAATAACTAGATTCTTCGAGGTAAATTTATGATGAGCAATCCACAGCAGTCGGCATCTCCAGTTACTTTTGGGAAAGAATCCGTATTAAACATAATAAAAGCATATTCAATTCCATGCAACTTATTTAAAGCCCCCTTCACCATCACTTTCCAGAGGATCAACATTGTTGAACCAGGATACAGCAAGCTCATAGAACAAGTTTATTAGCGCTCTGACACCCTTGTAATCTTTACTTGACAAGCTGCTTATACTAGAAGCCAACGAGATGAAGCTGCCCAGCATCTCAATGCCCAAGCCTCCCATATGACAGGGCCTGAAGGTAGACAAGTATGCATGGCCAAAACTGAGTATGGCAACTCCGTAATTTGATCTAATGGCTACCAGATGATATCACAGCAACTTTCTCTTGCATCAGGGTCGCTCTCTCAAAACCTCAAAATGACAGTGAGCAAAAGAAAAGTACATGACTGAGGTCGATCCAATGCATAGTATCAACAGTGTTACTTCTAATCCAACTGAAGGCATAAACATGGGGCGGTCACATAGATCAGCCGGCCCAAAGGCCCAAACTCAATTCACTGGAAATAGCAGCTAAGCATCCTCAAGGAAAAACTGAAGACTAAACAGAATATGCAATTTGATCGTTGGCCTCAGAAATGATTGTTAAAATCTAGTGCTTCATTTTAATTCAATGCCATGAAGTTATTCTTACTTTTTAACATTTGTGCATTTGCTCAATCAATTTAATTGTTCTAGAGTGTTAGAAAAGTAAAAATCAACCAAAATTTTGATACACGAAGTGAACAAACTTCCTTCTCATAAAACAGAACCTGAACTTATTATAACTCCTTACATTGGAGACCTTTTGACAGCAACTGCCATTGACAACTTTTAGGTAAAACTATTCCATATCATACCGATTTTCCTGAATATGGCCCATAAAGTGTTGAGCTTAGTACTAATCTAGAAAGTCAAATGAAAGAATCAATATCGGTATTACTCTTGCTCCTCCATGTGAAACTGAAATTCACACGTAATGGGCTTTTCAATGCAAATTATCCAATCAACTCCCTGAAATATTCACATGACAACAATTTTCAGCCATTCGAATGAATTGAGCCAGTATGGGCAACGCAAGAGGACTGACAGGGAAATGACAACTCTAGTTGAATTAAACCCACAATTCTGAATTGCCAGCTACAAATTAAACTACGCAACTATAGCACCACACCATTGCACTCAAAAGATGCTATGTGGTGCGAACAAACTCTTTATCGGAAAAACCTAATAGATACTAATCATGTTTTATGATTCAAAACCTTCAAAGTATGCGGAACCACTATCAAGTCAGAAGCATATCCATGCAAACCTAACCATGAGGCATATTCGAAAAACTAAATCTCACCATGAAACTTGTTATATAAGAGCAAGACATAGCAAATTATACCCAATGAACTTGCTTAAATAAAACAAATATCATATGCCATACCTCTTGAGCTTCATCCATCGGTGTGTCCGATGGAACTGGATAGTCAGCAAGCACTTCAACTTCTGGCCCTACTTCAAGTACAGCAGGAGCTCGAATAAAAACTCCACGAAATGTATCAGGACCTCCTTCCTTTGATGCCAGCTCCGGTACTGAAAGATCCGCTTCAAAGCTCTGAATCTAAACATCAGGGGAAAAAAAGGCAAGTCGATTCAGAAGTCATTGTGTATAAGCAACAACAAGCTCACTCTTATGCACGTTCAGATTTTGTGATATCATAAAAATCACTCTGGCATAAAAGTTACATATACTGGACACGAAGATAAAGTCGAGGTTCACACTTACGATCCCGCATGTGATAGCAGATAGTGCAACAATTATTTTCACCAAAACAGCTACAATGTGTCATAAATAAAGTAGAGCAATATATTCAGAATCAAAAGGGCATGCAGACCTGACTGCCAAAAAAGTTCCTGTGGACAATGCAATCTAGGCCTCCAACAAGATCTTGTCCTCCTGCTTTTTGTCCTGTGAAAAATAAGCATCTCGTTTCAACTATCTGAACTTCATCACCAGTATTCCTCACATTGCATTCAGAAAAGTTAAAAACAATGAATTGTGAAGCAGTACAATCTTCGGACCTCCTAAGAAGCCACAAGAGAAGACCCACCAGTTACTTTGTCGGCCAGGAATATAAGACCAGCACATGTTCCCCAGACAGGCTTTCCCATCTTAACAAACTCTCGAAGTGCCGGGAACTGCAGAATGAAAGGATTTAGTTACAGATGACTAAACTAACTGCTGATTGCGTAACCGTGGAGCAGTAAATTAACTCGGTGCAAGTCCTTCAAATTGTACAGGGCACATTGTAATGCTACCGAACTGACATGCAGCACAGAAAATAGAGATAAGAATCATGGACTCTTATTTCCTTGAAAAACCGAATGAACTGATACTCTATATCAATTCTCAGAAAACATTTCAGGAAAAGACAAAAACCATTTTATCCTGCTCCACACAAAAAGTTACTTCAAGAGAACCGGTCATGAATTCACAAAGGTGGAGCACTTAGACTTGCTCCACCATCACCAAAATCGATGCAGCAATGACAGCTTCTCAGCTTTCCTATCCTAATTTTGTACTATCAAAACGCAAATTACTACAAATGAACAAGTCCACACGGGGCATGTCCTTCCAGGTTGTGGAATTCTCAGAAAACATTGTCCAAAACAGAGTGACCTCATTTCATCCTACTCCACAACAGCCGATACTAGAAGACAATTGGTAGTCAACTCGCAAAGGCAACGTTAGCACACTCACGCTGCCAATCCTAAACCGACAACGGCACCGACGTTTCTCATTTTCCAATCCCGATTCGACACCATCGCGATAAACAATCCATCGCCGGAAACCGAAAGAGCGCACGAACGGGGCGAGCGAGGGAGAGTAACAAACCAGGTTATGGAACTCGGCGAGCTTGGCCATGGTGGTGCTCTCTCCTCCGGGGATAATCAGCGAGCTGACGCTCCGCAACTGCTCCGGCTTCCTTATCTCCACTCCCTTCACCCCGAGCCTCCGGAGCGCTGGCGAACGACAGACAGACAGACATACAGGCAGATTCCTCTGGTTACGGACTACTTGTGCAAAAACAGACGACGCCGACGCCGACGACGACGACGCACACGTCCGCTCGCGGAGAACGAGAAAGAAGAAATCGTGCCTGCGATGTGCTCGTTGAAGGATCCTTGGAGAGCGAGGACACCGACCGCCATCTTCTTCGCGACCGATCTGCTCTTCCGCTTCGAGAGACGGCGGTGCGGCGGCGAGAGAGCGAGAACGAGCGGTCCCGTGAATGAATTGTGCGCCAATGAAATGAAAGAGGAGGGAGGGAGCGAGCGAGCGAGCGAGAGAGGGTGAGAGACGTGGAGCGATGGGATTCGGGAGGCCTTTCGTTTCGAAAAGCCGCCCCTTTCGGTGTGCTTCGCTCTCTTTTTTGAGTATATCCTTAATTGGCAAATCTACATGTTCTATATCTCCGTTGGTTTCGCAAACAATAAAATTTTGAAAAAATATTTTTTAAAAAAAATTATTTAAATCATTTATAAATAAAAAATGGATGAACAAATTATTTTTATTGTGCACGAAAATGTTTAGATTCAAATTATCTTCAATGATGAAAATGTTTTTCATTAGCTAATTATTTCGAGTTATACAAGAGATCATTTTTTACAAAGACGTTTTCCGAATCATTCATTATTCGCGAAACAAACGGAGCCTATATTTAGATTACTTGTTTCCATAATTAATAGCCTGATAGACAAATCTATATTTGTCATGTATATGTGTTGTTTCTCTTTTCTACATTTTGCATTATATATATATATATATATATATATATATATATATATATATGTGTGTGTGTGTATGTTTTTTATAAGTTAAATGAAACGCGGGAAATTTCACCCAAAAAAAACGCGCAAAACATTATTTTCCATTTATTTGTGCAATCGTGACATAGTATAAGGGAGCAAGAGATCTTGTTTTCAAATTTGGATAATAACACAAATGATCTATAAACTTTGGTTCTAATATATCGTCCATAAACTTTTAATATGTTTGATGTGGCATGTGAACTTTGGCCCAATATGCAATGTTGTTTATGGACTTTTAATTTTGTTTAGTCGGGTCCCTGAAATATTAGTAAATGTTCGATGTAATTGCGTCATTTTCATATAGTCTAGTCCATAGATTATATGAAACTATATGAAAATGAATAATTACCCATAGTTCGGGGACTACATTGAACAAAATTAAAAGTTCAAGGACAACATTACACATTGGACCAAAGTTCAGGAATCATATTGTACAAAATTAAAAATTCAAAGACGATATTGCATATTAGATCAAAGTTCATGAATCATTTGTGTCATTTTCAAAACTCAAATCTTTCCAAGCCCAATATTTCCACGCTCCAGCCTCATGTCAAAATCCCAGCTTGCACGTAGTGCAATATTTAAACATTGAAATTACGTAGTCATCTAACGGTTTAAAGTTTTTAAAACAGTTAGCAGTGATTTCAAGAGATCTTTCTGAATCAGGACCACCTATGATTTATCTCTTCTTTCTTCCGGCAATCTACAGTTAGTTCTAATCTCTTTCGGAGTAGGTGCTAAAAATAATTATTGTGAAATTTGTCAAAAAAGTCATAAATCTATTGCACTTTTACCAATTTAGGCTCCGTTCGTTTGGCGGAAAATATTCTCCCGGAAAATATTTTCCGGTGTTTGGGAGGCGGAAAACGTTTTCCGTGGGAAAATATTTTCCCTCCCCCCTCACAAAATAGCCTAAGTCTACGGAAAATGACTTCCGCTTCTTCAAAAGCGGAAATCATTTTCCGGAGCTTCTTCTTCTTCTTCTTCACTAAGGTCGCCGGCCGCCGCATGCCGACCGCTGCCGCCGATCATCGCCGCCGCCGGATGTCGGACGTTCGCCGTCGGTCGCCGGCCGCCACCGCCGCCGCCGGACGCCCCGGACGCCGGACGTTGGCCGCCGGCGGCGGGCCGCCGCTGCCGCCGCCGCCGGCCATTGCCGGACGCCGCCGCCGTCGCCCGGCGAAAAATATTTTCCGAAACTTTTTCATATTGGTCGCCGAACACCGGAAAATTATATTCTGGGAAAACATTTTCCAGGAAAAATGACTTCCGGGAAAATATTTTCCAAAAGGAGAATATTTTCCGCCAAACGAACGGAGCCTTAGTCATAAATCTTTCAATCTTGCCAATCGAGTCATAAACATTTTCATATTTTACCGATTGAGTCCATTCAGCTAATTTTGGCCGGAAATTACCGACGCGGACGTTGACCATCCAACTCGGACAAATTTTAATAATATTTTAAGATTCTTTCGAATTTTATTATTACTTTTTTTCTTTTTTTCTTTTCTTCTCTTTTTCTTTCTTTTTTTTTCTTTTTCCAATTTTCCCTCTACTGGCCATCAACGAGGCAACCACCGTCGGGCCTCGTTGATATCTAGCAAAGATCGTCGGCCTCAGGCGAGGCCCACCTTCGCCGGCCTCAGGAGAGGGCCACCCTCGGGCTAGGGACACCCAGGCCTGGGCTGGTGAGAGCTGCCCTCATCGGATCGGGCGAAGGTTGCCCTCGCTAGTCTAGCTGGATCTCCGCCTCGAGTTCAAATCTAAGAAAGCTCCAACATGGAGGCCATGGCCGCAAGGTGACGAGCTCAAGATACGCAAGCTTCATATCCAATCCACGACCGACAGCCATGGCTGCAAGGTGCTACAAGGTCAAGATATGTGAGCTCCAAATCCCGGCCATCACTGCGAGTTTAGAGCGCCACGAGCTCCTTATCTCGACCACTATCGATAACCATGGCTGCAAGGCCATGAGCTCAAGATATACGAAACCGGCTATGGCCGCGAGGAAAGGAGCTCCGAATTCTAACCATGGACGCAAGCTTAAAGCTCGAGCTTAAGTGGCCACGACGGCCATGAACTCCAAATCTCGACCACCACCAAAATCCATGGCCGAGAGGCGACGAGCTCAAGATATGTGAGCTTCACATCCTAGCCATGGTCATGAGCTAGAGCTCGAGCTCAAGTGGCCATAGCGGGCACAAGCTTCAAATCCTAACTGTCGTTGATAGCCATGGTCTGAGCCAAGGTCAATGGCAGCTCTTGCCAGCCCAGGCCTAGGTGTCCCTTGTTCAAGGCCGGCGAGGGTGGCCATCAACGAGGCCTTGCAGTGGGAAAAAGAGAAAAGAAAAAGAAGAGAAAATGGAAAAAAAAGAAAAGAAGGAAAAGAGAAGAAAACAAAACAAAGGAAAAATATTAAAAAAAATCGAAAAATATTAAAATATTATTAAAAATTATCCACGTCAGCTCCGACTGTGTCTCGTGTTAATGATTTTCGTCCAAAATTGACCGGATTGATTCAATTGGCAAAATGTGAAAATGTTTAAAATTTAATTGGCAAAATTATAAGATTTGTGCATTAGGTTTAGGATTTTTTGGACAATTTTCATAGGGATATGTTCACTAGAAGTCCTAAAACTTATCACGAAAGTGCAGCTGAGTCCTAAAACTTACAAAAGGTGCAATCAAATCCTAAAACTTGTCAAATTAGCTCAAATGAGTCCTAAAGTTAACACCGTCAAACTTACTAATGAAAAATGCTAACGTGGTGCTGACGTTGCTTATATTTTAATATTTTCTCTCTCCTGTGTGGCGATGACATGGCTAAAGAATGAGATATAAGACTAAAACGACGTCGTTTTGGCCCAAATTTAATTTTTAATACTAATTTTATTTAAAATAAATTTAAAAGTAAGCTAAAAAAAAGGGAGGAGGAGGACAAGCGGGGAGGGGCCAGCGAGGATGGGGCGACAGCAGGCGGGGGCCTGTGGGCCCTCGCCCAGATCTGGGGAAGGGTCGCGACCCCTCGCCGGCCCCTCTCGGCAAGTGCCCTCCCTCCTCGCATGTCCTCCTCCTCATTTTTTTTTAAATTTAATTTAAATAAAATTAATATTAAAATAATAATAAAGCCACGTCATCATCATATAGGATATAAAAAATCATTTAAAAAAGTCACGTCAGCATTTTCCGTTAGCTAACTTGGACCGTGTTAACTTTAGGACTCGATATAATCAATTTGACAAGTTTTAGGATTCAATTGCATTTTTTGTAAGTTTTAGAACTCAATTATACTTTCATAACAAGTTTTAGGATTTCTAGTGAACATATCTCCTAAAACTTATTACATGTTTGAAAGGGCTGACGTTAAGCCCACATCAGTCCCAAAATGACAATGCACATCGTACCCTAAAAGATTGAGCGAGAAAATTAATACAAAAGCATAATTAGGTGGAATCTTAATAGTCTTTTGTAAAGCGAACGTCAATCAAGTGGACTTGGTACCTCCAAACCCCCCCCCCCCCCCAATCAAATCCGTGGACGTCTTCATGTGTCGCGCCGACACGCTGCTCGTATGTTAATAATTAGCTAACTTAATCCCACTAATTTTAGCATCTAATCATGATTGGCTATACAATTCGAATTGAATAGTCTTTCGCGAACATTATTTTGTCGCGAAAGATCGACCCACCTAACGCCATTTGGAGTCGGCCAAAGCCAAGCCAATCGTAGCAAGGCATCGCTACCGTGCACGCGCGAATCCCCTTCGTAAGAACCTGCTAAGTCAATCCTCGCGAAATTCGTATTCTTATGGTCAAGGTAAAAAAATTGATCATATTTTAATTTCATTGCCATGCAAAAACATGTGAGGGAAAAATAATAGAAAAAAATACTAATCAGGAATGAAAAGCAAACGAATAAGTGCATCAAAAGTCTTAAACCTTATCACGAAAGTGCAATTAAATCCTAAAACTTACGAAAAGTGCAATCAATCATTCCGTTAACTCTATCCGATTAGACCAACGGAAAATGCTGACGTGATTTTTTAGATATTTTCAAAATTATTCATTTTTCACAAAATAAACGGAGCCTATATATTTAGATTACTTGTCTCCGTAGTTAATAGCCTAATAGGCAAATATATATTTGCCATATTTATGTGGCGTTTCTTTTATCTACATTTTGCATTCTCTTGTGTGTGTATATATTTTATCGGTTAAATTAAACCCGTGGAACATTTTTTTTGCCATTTATTCATGCAATCGCGGCACAGTTGAGGGAGCAAGAGATCTGTTTTCAAATTAGATAATAACATAAACGACCCATAAAATTTGGTCATGATGTGCAATATCATTCTTGAATTTTTAATTTGTTCAATGCTATCAGTCAAATATGCAATATCGTCCTTAGACTTTTAATTTTTCTCAATATGGTCCATGGACTATTGGTAAATATTTAATATATCCTTACGTTTGCATCGTTTTCTTATAGTGCAGTCCCTAAACTATATGAAAATGAACATTTACCAATAATTCGGGAACAACATTGAACAAAATTAAGGGCACGTTTGGCAACCGGCCAAACAGTAACTATTTCTATTTTTTTGTTTCCAGAATCAATTTTGGAATAGAAATATGTTTGGTAAATTTTTTGTTCCCAGACACAAATTTAAAAAAATTTATTCCCAGAATAAATTTTGGAATAGAATCAAGAAGAAAAAAAAGTTGCTTCTTAATTCTAGGAACAAGAATCATAAATGGAAAAGAAATTTTTTTTTCTTCTTCTTCTTCCTGGCTTGTGGCCGAACGCCGGCCACCGACCATAGGCCAGAGCCGGTGAGGGTTGGACCCTCGCCGCCTGGGTGAGGGCGGCTCGCGGCTTGGACGAGTGCCGCCCTTGCCGAATCTGGCGTGGGTGGCGGCACTCGCTAAAGCCGCGAGCCGCCCTCACCCAGGCGGCGAGTGTCCAGCCCTCGCCGGAGCCGACGAGGGCCACAATGTCCTTGCCGGCCCTGGCCATAGCCAAGGAAGGGGAAGAAGAAGAAAAAAATAATAATAAATATTAAAAAATTTAAATTATTATTAATAAAAAGAAATTTTGTGCAGTTACCAAACGCATTTCTATTCTTTTTTTATTCCAATAATAGAAATTTTGGGCAGTTACCAAACACCTTTAAATGCTTAGAAATTATTTCCGGGCACAGAATAAAAAAGAATCATTTCTGAACAGAAATTATTTCCGAAAATAGAATAGTTGCCAAACGCACCCTAAAAGTCCAGGGACGATATTACACATTGGACTAAAACTTACAAAAAATATTAAATAGAATAAGTGTATTGAAAGTCTTAAAACTTGTCACGAAAGTGCAATTGAGTTCTAAAACTTACAAAAAGTGCAATCAAGTCCTAAAAATTATCAAATTTATGCATTCAAGTCATTCCGTTAACTTTGTCCTATTAGACTAACTAAAAAGGCTGACATGATTTTTTAAAATATTTTCCAAATCATTCAGTTTCCGCAAAACAAACGAAGCCTATATTTAGATTATTTCCATAGTTAATAGCCCAATAGGCAAATCTATATTTGCCATATTTATGTGTTGTTTCTCTTGCCTACATTTTGCATTCTCTTGTGTGTGTATATAATATGTATATATGTTATCCGTTAAATGAAACGTGCGGAACAATTTTTTGCCATTTATTCGTGTAATCGCAGCATAGCATGTTGTCAAATTGGATAATAACACAAACGGTTTCTAAACTTTGATCCTAATATGCAATATCATCCTTGAACTTTTAATTTGTTTAACGGGGTCCTAGACTTTGGCTCAATGTGTAATGTCGTCCCTAGACTTTAAATTTTTTTTAATGTGGTCAAAAACCTTGCCAAGCGTGTTGAAAAAATCAGCTCGTTGTATTTGAAAAACCAGGTCAATTTTCAGAAAGTTACTGTTCATGCACTGTTCGGCAATGTAGCAAGAAGAAAAACGTACAAAATGTTTGATATAGTCCTTAAGTCTGCGTCTTTTTCTTATAATCTAGTCCCTTGATTATATGAAAATTAACATTTACCAATAGTTCGGGGACCACATTGAACAAAATTAAAAGTCCGGGGACAACATTCCACATTGGGCCAAAGTCCAGTATCGTATTGAACAAATTAAAAGTTCAGGGATGACGTTGCTTATTAGACCAAAGTTTACGGATCATTTATATCATTTTCCCATTTCAAATCTTTCTGAGCCCGATATTTCCACACTCTAGTCTCGGGTCAACATCCAGCTTGCGGGCAGTGCAATATTTATGCTTGATTCTCATGAATAGTCAGTCTTTCGCGAACATTATTTTGTCACAAAAATCCGACCCACCCAAGGCAATTTTGGAGTAGCCAAGCCAAGCCAAGCCAATCGTAGCAATGGAGCGCTAGCACGCACGGGCGAGTCCCCTTCGGAGTAACCTGCCAAGTCAATCCTCGCGAAATTCGTATTCTTACGGTCAAGGTAAAAAAAAGGGAATTTGAGATGCTGAAGTTGTACGAGGGCGGCGCACGCGCGCAAACGCAATTAATCAGATTTTCTGACAAAAAAAAATTAATCATGATTTAATTTCATTGCAATACGAAAAAAATTGAGGGAAAAAGAAGAGAAAAAAAAATATTAATCAGGAACGAAAAGGAATGTTTGGATTATGTGGAGTATGAGCGGAGGAAGCTTCTTGATCGGATGATGCCAAATGAAGAGTACTCGCAAGCTCGTTGGGACGTGCAATGCCTCCAAGTAACGGTACTTTTGTTGCCACGCTCGACCCTGGGCACAAGGGATTGATGAATCGAACGGATCGGAAGTTAGAAAATAAGAAGGTGACTGCATTTAATCAGAGCCGACACTTGAAGGAAATTGATTAACATCACATGTTGGCCTCCTCCTTGGCGAATCATGCCCGAAAAACGTCTCTCTCATCCTTGACCTCTACAAATGCATGTCGGCTCGTAGCTCAATTCTTGAATGGAACAGTGGTTATATCGGAATGACCATACGTGAGAATTTTGATTTGAGAATAGTTGAGAACTTGACATCGGCGTGCCACCAAACGATAATATAAGTCTATTGTTATTTTTTTTTTCCGGTCAAAACATAAGTCTATCGTTAGCAATACATTGAAAACGACAAAAGCAATTTCTCTTGATAAAGCATGTGCCAATAATGTAAGTCTAGTCGCGGTGAGATGAAGACATATCTCAACCCCAATATATTTAGCTGAGCGTCCGGACCCATCAAACGGCGTGTTTAACATCGTGGATCATGCCAATCCAATTTTGTAGATCTGACTACCTCTTACAATACGTAATAAACTAAAAATAATGTCTACGCTCGAAATATGTTCACTTCTATTTTACGTCAAATTATCAGCAGCAAGTACATTAAAATCTAAAGAATTTCGAGCAACCGAAGGATCATGTTATTGCAAGAATGTTAAAAGAACGCGCATATGGTCCGCCATATTGGAGACCGCCCGTGCCTATCAGCCCCATTCGAATCACGTCGAGCCGGCCAACGGAAATCAACGTCGATTTATTTATCAGCCCTTCGCAAAAAAAAATAATAAATAAATAAACCTCCCGAGCCTCTTCCCGGACGCGCTTTTCCGTTTCCTTCTAGTTTTGGCCCACCCGGATTTCCCTAATTTCTCATCTCGACTCCCCTCCGAAGACCTTCCCTTCCCACTTCAGCCCACGCTCGGATTTTTGGGGCAACGCAATCGCGCAGGAACCTTCAAGGGCCCCCCCCGCCCCGGTCTCGCGGCGAATCTCTCCCTCCGAAATCCCCAGTCGCTCCTCCGCCGTATTCATTCCTCCCCGGTTTCGTGCTCGATTTTAGGGTTTCCGGATCTCCGGCCTCCCGCTCGGTCAAATTTTCTTTCTGCTCTTCAGCGCATCGTCGTGCGCCGTCGCCCGGTGCGGTCGTCGGGGCTATTCGTATTGCCGGGCGTGTCGTAATGTCCGTTCCGGGGTAAAATTTTCCGGTCGCCGAACCTGTCGCCTCCTTCGGCAAATCGTGCGAGAAGGTGAGGCGGTTTGTTTGTTTGTTTTTTTTTTTTTTTTTTTTTTTTTTTTGTTGGGGTTGGATTGCTGAATCGTGATGGTTATGGGACCGTGTTGTCGGACATGTTCCGGTCTCGATTTGCCCGGATGGGGGCGTCTGAGCCTTCCATGCGAGGGGCGTGTCATTTTCTCGTTTCCTGTTAAGTGAATTTCGTCAACTGGACAGGTTTATGCGCTGCTGTTGTCTTTTTTTTAATGTTTATTTTAATCGCATTATTTGTTTTCTTTCTTTCTTTCTTGTCGGAAAGGGTCAAAGAAATTTCCCCTCTCCCTTTGCTTTTTGCGAGGCGGTGGAGGATTCAGGCCTCTCTCTCTCTCTCCCTCCCTCTCCCTCTCCCGCATCGAGGTCTTCAATAAGCTGGAGCTATCGCTATGTTGGTGTTCGGCAGAAACAGCTGCTGCGGCGACGTGATCAGCTGCTTCGTTCATTTGTCCGAATGGCATCCGTTGGAATAGCAAAGCTGCGTTTCGGGCTCTGGAGCCCCGTCCTCTCCTGTGCATACCAGGTGTGTGTGTGTGTGTGTGTGAAAGTTGATGTCTTGTTCGCTTCCGGAATCTCGACTGAGATCGTCGATGCGTCAATTCGCTCCTGGTGATTGATTCTGTGAATCTTTCGCGAGGAAGCTTCGGGACTGCAGTGTTAATTTTGTTCTGGAGTGAGAATTTGGCTGCGGAGTGTGCTTCGTAGCGGCACAATCTGGCAGAGTTTTGTTTTTGTTCGCGTCGTTATCGTTAGGCGTCCCTTTCTTTTTGCTTAGGAGAGGGCTGTGGTTGGCAACCGTTTCTGAGAACTGGGTGTGCATTTTTTGCAGGTCTTTGGAGTTTTTGTTTATCTCGAAGCTGAGGGTTGCAGTATATAATTATAGGTTCCAAATTTCTCATGTTCAGCAAAGGGCATCCAATTGCAAGATTCATGGGCTGCTGTAGTTGCTTTGGATTCTCCAGGAAGCCTAAAAGGACCTCGAGGCCCATTTCTGGATTGAATAATCATCTTTCTCAGGAGTTTTTGTTGGATGAAGACATTGAAGATGAGGATGATCGTTCATACAACGGTGAGGTCACGGATGGTGCTCATGACGATGATGGTGAATTGCGGAGCCGTGCCAAACGTTCTGAAGATATTCTGAGGTTTAGAGAAGAAAATGGCCTGATTTGCAGGCAGTATCCTGTAAAAGAAACCCACAAAGTTATTCGTTCGGAGGTAAATATCAAGGAACTGTGAAACTATTTCTTGGCCACATTCATGGGAGTATGCTGCAGTCGTTTCGTAAGAGATCATAAATGGATATCCTGCTGTCAGGGAATTTGATTGTTGCATGTGCTCTAAGTCTGCGTGATCTTTTACCCAAAGTAGTTTTTCTATCCAAACAGTATCTTAAGAGTTGAGTGTCTATCCGGTTCGCCTGTTATGATCCCTTTGTATACATATACAACGCACTAGCCTGCACAACTTCCTTGAGTGAACCGTGCAAGCTTTTAGTCTTATCTCAGTAGGGGTGACTGTGATATTGAGCAAAGCTATGTGAGTCTATATGAATCGGTTGTTCTGAGTGTTTGTTTCAGTGGTCTCGGTTGTGTAATTTAGCATCTTTTTTCTACTTTAAGCTTGCGGGTGGTCATTTTCTGATGAGGCACATACGTCTTTCTCTGATCATGCATTTATGGTCAATTTTCTTATCAGGATGAAAACGGGAATAAGATGGTCAATGAATATGTTCGCGAGTATAAGATTGGCTCTGGTAGCTATGGCAAAGTGGTATGTGGTTGTATCATATTCTATCTTGTTACTTTCTTTAAGGGAGATGATGTAGTTATTGTTTCATGTGCAACAGGTTCTCTACCGAAGTCAAGTCGATGGAAAGCATTATGCAATTAAGGTAAGTTTAATATACTTTCTGGCTGCTTATGAGTTTGCTAAAAACTCTAACTAAGAGATAAAGCTCTCTCTCTCTCTCTCTCTCTCTCTCTCTCTCACACACACACACACACACACACTCACACCCATCCACCCACACACACACACACACCCATCCACCCACTCACACACACACACACACACACACACACACGCACACACACACTCACTCACACACAGTGTCTCTCATCCTTCTTTTGTCGTCAATATCTTGCATGCATGAGATATATTTTTTGCAAGCATGTTATGATGATGAGACAGCAGCTTAGAACTTTGGAGTGGCTAACTTAATGAATCCTTTATCTTCGTCTGTCCTCGTTTCTTGAAAAAACGATAGATACTCCAAAGATAGTGCACTAGGTGGCTATACATATATGGGAGCGGCAGACATATGTTTAGAAGATGTCCCATCCCATACTATTTCTCATTGTCCTTTAGAATCATGTATTTTTTCCGTATTTGCATAGGGTAGGGGCTTGTTCTCAATGACTAGACAGTTATGATCTGTATGAATTTTAGTCATTCCATTGCAGGCCTTTCATAAGTCCCATTTGCTAAGGCTGCGCGTGGCACCTTCAGAAACTGCCATGACCGATGTTCTTCGAGAAGTATGTTTTTTTGTCTGATTCACCTTTGTACTCTTTATCTCGATCTACTGGGAATTTGAATACTCTGAGCAAATTGTGTTGATGATGACTGGGAAAAACATGCATCATAAAACTCAACTCTTAACTTCTTGCGTTGCTTGATCCATTCATTCTAGTTATGTGGTGCTGCTGTTTAATGTCGTTCGTATGCTATTTCTTGTTCGACTATGACAGAATAAAGGCCTATTTGAGCAACATTTGTTCCTTTACATAACCTATTAGAGGATTAGAGCAACATTATTTTGCATGGAGTTGCACTTCCGGATAAAAGCTTTATTTATGTTCTTCCTTTTGCTGTAGGTTTTGATCATGAAAATGTTGGAGCATCCTAATATAGTCAACCTCGTAGAGGTGATTGATGACCCAGAAACAGATCACTTCTACATGGGTATGCTTAATATTTTACTTCCCGTTGGTTTTTCAGGATGAACTTTCAATGTGCTTGATTATGCCATTGAATTTCTGTTGAAATTGTCTCAAGTATCATAACATTGACAAATGGTTTGTTTTTGGGTTAGTTCTTGAATATGTGGATGGCAAATGGGCTTATGAAGGATCTGGTCCACCTGGTGGGATTGGAGAAAATACTGCCAGAAAGTATCTGCGCGATATTGTTTCTGGGTTGATCTATCTCCACAGTCATGTATGCTACTACTATCTGTGTTGAAATCTGTGTGCATTGCTTTCTATTTTGTCCTTCATGCTGGGATGATGCTAAGCTGTCAACACTGTATTGAGTGCATGTTCTTTTCTTTAATGCGAGGGAACCAGAATATAGTGCATGGAGATATCAAGCCTGATAATTTGTTGGTGACCAGTTCTGGCATTGTGAAGATAGGAGATTTCAGTGTTAGCCAGGTCTTTGAGGTAATGATTGCTGCTCCCAAGGCTTTTGTAAATTATCACTTGAATGAAAGAGAAACTACCAAATATGCTTTTCCTTGATAATTGAAGTTGTAAATTTGAACTTCATGTTACAGTTTGTATTTTCTGGAGGAGAAGAAAAATCTCTAACCAGCGTAAAAGATATACGTTTGGCGAGGAGAAGTGTTTGGTGTTGATATTCTCCTATTTCATGCTATCTGCATAAGTATGCGAGAAACAGTTTACGCTAGCTCATGTTTGTGGATCTAAATGGGAAATTCTGATGCTATGTTTGGAGCACTTGGAGGTTATGAGAATAGATGGAAAAATTAAAATTTTCCTCCTTTCCTCCTCTCTCGGATTGTAAATTTTATTACATTTTCTACACCCACCCCTCATTTTTTTTCCATTCCCCTCCTTCCCAATCAAAGCATAAATGTATCAAGTCGATGGGTAATCTGGTTTGGATTTAACGATGATCAATCCTGGGGTCACTTTTTTTGTTAAATGTTGGGGATTGTGAATTTTTGTCATTGATATCTGCAGGATGATAATGATGAACTTCGGCGATCTCCTGGGACTCCTGTTTTCACAGCACCCGAGTGCTGTCTAGGTCCAGTCCCTTATCCATTAGGGCAATGATAGAACAAAATATTGACATGAAAGCATTTTGACTTCTCCTTTGTAATTTGATTTTCTTCCTGGTATTTAAAATAGGTCTCACTTATCATGGGAGGGCTGCTGATACTTGGGCTTTGGGTGTCTCTCTTTACTGTATGGTCTTGGGACATTATCCTTTCCTTGGAGAAACACTGCAAGACACGTATGACCAGGTATATATGCCTCAGTCAGCACTAACTCCTGTCTCACCATTTCATCTCATTATTTGAGTTGAGTTTATGCTTTTTGAAATTTGATTTGGCAGATAGTTAATAACCCTTTGATATTCCCGGATGGTCTCAATCCACAACTTAAGAACTTGCTGGAGGGGCTTCTGTGCAAAGGTTAGTATTAGTAGTGTTAGTGGGCTCCATCACATACCTTATCCCAACTGCAAGCTGTGCACAGTGACTGTTTTTCCCTTCTCGTTCTTTTGGTTGGATTGCTAAAAGGCCAATCTATCATATGCAGATCCAGAACACAGGTTGACATTGGATGCTGTCGCAGCTCATGCCTGGGTTGTTGGAAAAGACGGACCAATCCCTCAATATTTATGCTGGTGCAAGCGCAAAAGCCTGGAGGTGCAGGAACGTGATGGGAGCAAATATGATACTGACATGAGTTTGACAAACTGAGTTTTGTTGACTTTCGACCTGTCTGTATAGTAAAGCCCAAGAACTTTCTCCTTTCGTTTTCCTTTTTGGCTCATGAGCTGACGAATCTGGAGATGGGAATCAGGGAAGGTCCTGAGAGGAATTATCCGTTGAAACAGGGATGGAAGACCTGTGCTCCTCAGAGTGGAAATAGAGATGGATAGATATGTCTGGATGGCCTAGAAATGCAGATATGAGTTTTAGTAGGTTAAGAATTTTCGAATTTTGTTCATGATTTCTTGACAGAAGAGTAGTTTGTCTTGCCATTTACATTGGGTTCATAGGTTTTTGAAACTGAGAGAAAGATTATACTGACATTTATCGATTCCTTAACAATTTGCTTGATGCTTGATTTTCTTCCATCTTTGGTTATAGTATGATTGAGTAATAGTTTTACTGCACTTCATTGATATTCCTCACTAGTCGGATGGACTTGGTACCTTTTAGTGTACTGCGACAAGCACGGAACTTGATTTATCTGAACAAGTGAGAAATCTTCTTTAGAGAATGCTGACGTCCTCTCAATATGACGGGGCAAGAGATCTTATTGATAACTACGGAAAGAAAGGAGCGGTAAGTGGACCTCTAATGGTTCTCTGAGTCATGCTGGGTGTGGCAATGGTTTTTGAGTTATATATCCTCCTCTAGAAAAGAGCACCACTCGCGTGCGCATAAATCAAAAGTTCAGTATACACAGTACAGAAGTCTCTCGTTACCGCGTCTTTTTCGTAAGAGCAATGCTTGCAAACATGGATGTTATTATCATCACTTGCTCTATCATTGTTTAATCAGGGAACAAGAGTAATGGGTTTGGTGGCTCTACGACGGATTTATCTTCAATTTTATGCGTCATCATCTTCAATAGGGACAAAAGTGAAGCATGCCGTATTTGGTCCACTTTGGCTTTTCCATATAGTCTAGCTATCGTGAACAGTGCATATTGTCCAAAAATACTGCATATTACTGTAGGTGGGTCTGATTCGGAGTGAAGTCTACAACTAGCGAATCCCTCTTTATACCGTAGATATTAGAATGGATTTGGCCCGTCAGATCAGGTGGATCTCGCACCGGTCATTATTTATAGCTCGAAAGAAATTGGAAAATTTTTTGCCCTGGAGGCAGGGAGTCAGCAAACTTCATAAGCAAGTTGTGTTGTTCGTGATGAAGATTGGATGGCTGGCTGGCTAATTGTAATTTTAGCTTCTTTTGGTAGGATGAATGGTGACCATCCGGGTCAAATTTATAAAGCCAAAAGGGGGAAGAGGTGAAAGGCACTAACAAACCATTGAACATTCAACCTACTTCAACATCGATGAGGAAGTCCCGCAGACAGAATAATTTGACCACTGGACTTCAACTTCAAAGCACGTTTTGGTTTTTTTTTTCTCGGAAAGCACGTTTTGGTTCGCATGTCCCTTTTGCTTATCGAAGTCAAAGATCCACATCAAACTTGCCACGCACCGCGAATAAAGGGTAATCAAATAAGGGCATACCTTAAAAGATCATCTCAACTACACCCTAATATAATTTGTACCGTTCGTTTTAAATAATATCTCCGGCTATCTGTTGAGCATTACGTTACGTTTACAGTACCATATGTCGTTGAAAACTATTTGAGGTCGGAACTATGATTCGATAATTGCTGCTCCTCGCGAGAGTTATCGAATCCGCTTGCATTTTTCATTTTTCTCCATAGGGAAAAAGTTAGAAGGCCTAACTTGGTCATCCAGAGTTGTGGAATGCTAAAAATTCAAGGTAAAAGGAGCTAGAGAGAAGAGGAGACGTGCCTTGTACAAATCAAACTTTGATAAAGTGAAGTCTTGGATGACCTAAGAAGATGCGGCTCAAACCCTCAAACCAACCCGTGATTAGATTTCCAACATGCATGTGTCCTTGCAAACTTTATTCAAACTTTCAACTTGTTTATTCTTTCTTTTTCTCAAGGCGGCGGGAGACTAAAAAGTTGCTCTAACATCATCCTAAACGTGTTGAATTTTCAAAAAAATATCGCGTGCATCCGATGCATGTGAGTTCGTTCAATCTGAACCATCAGAGATCATAAGTCGCGTGTGAATCACATATCATTTAATAGCCGAGATGGAACAGATTTACATGCTCTCTCGGTGCAATTAATATTCTTTTTTGTTTCGAAATTTCCTTGCAATCGTACGTGCGGTGAATAACTCGTTTTGACAAGTGCTCCCGAAGCTGGACGCCGGTTCCTTTCTTCTTTTCTTGTTTTGGCGATAAGCTGCACGTTGGTTCGGGATTTCCTTCTTTATTGTCACCACATTTTTAGCATTGTTGAAGACTAAATATAGGGTTTTCGAACCCATACGACATTATCAAGGAAACCATAACGAATTAACGACCTCCAACTTCCTTCACTCCACCCACGTACACTGGCTTTTGCATTGTTTGTTGATTCAGACAAGTCACCCGTGTTTTTTTTATTTTATTTCATTTAACGGGCAAGTAGTATCCGGGTCATCTTTCGTACACTTTGATCGGTCCACCTCCTAGTCCGGACAATCTGAAGACACCGGACAGGTTGACCTTCGGCTCGATCTTTAAGTAGTTGTCTCATTTGAGTATATCGTATGGATGCATATTGAACATTTCTCGATCTGACACGAGTTCAGCAACAAAAGCAGTTCGATTGATCGCATAATCGATCACAATCAAATGGAAGATTGTACTCATGTTCTTTCGTGGAGTTTTCAGTTAATTCCCTAAAAAATCTCAACTTTAGCTCCAATTCTAATTTTGCCTCGAACTCTTTTTTTTACCTAAAAAAGGGTTCACAACTTTCACTATAGTCCACATCTGCCCACACGTCCAAAAATCGCCACTATTTTCTTCAAGATTATCAATAACGGAAGCTATTGTTGTTCCATACAAAGGCGAGGGTGTTGATGAAGACATAGATTCTGATGATGAACCTCTCACTGATCCTAATGTTGATAATTTTGAATAAACTAGTTGCGATTTTTGGACGCGTGGGCAGATTACGGAATAAAGTGAAAGTTAGAGCTTTTTTTTAGACAAAAAAAGTTTGAGACAAAATTGAGATTGGACCTCAAGTTGAGAGTTTTTTAGGGAATTAGGCCTTGGAGTTTTCTATGTAGATATTTAGGTTTTTCATAGAATTGACTTTGCATATTAAAATGAATGGTGCGTTCGTTTCACGGAAAATGAATGTTTTGAAAAATATTTTCAGAAAAATGACTGCTTATATCGCTTAGAAAAATTAGTCAACGGAAAATATTTTCATCATTAATAGCAATCTATGCCTAACTATTTTCGTGGGCGATGAAAAAATTTTCCATTAATTTATTTTTATAAGCGATACAAACGATTATTTTTCGAAAAATATTTTTCGAATCACTCATTTTCCGTGAAATGAACGCTCCAGGCTCCATTTGTTTCGCGGAATGTGTGACATTTCTGGAATATGTTTTCTTGGAAGTTATTTTCCAAGAAAATGACAACAGTTTCCGGTGTTTAGCTGAGGGTTGAAAATGGTCTGGAAAATATTTTTAGTTGTTTGGTAAGAAAAATCTAATTTGATTTTCCTAAATAGCCATGCACTATTCAGGCTTTAGTAACTTGCGCACGGGTAGTCAAGGAACCTGACACGGGCACCAGGGTCTCTAGCCCAGATTTCCAACTTCCGGGCACGAGCACGGGCAGTGGTCTTGAGTCCATCAAAACCAAGCTCGAGAACTTAGTGCCCATGCCCGGCTCCCTAACTCCCCCACTCGAGTCTACAAAGGCTAGGCCTCAATCCTTGGTGCTCAGGCCTAGGTCCAGAGGCTGAGCTCCGAACCCTAGCGCCCGAGACTAGGACCCTAGCACTTGGACCTAGGTCAATTGAGGCCGGGCCTCGAACTCAATGCTCGAGATTCGGTCCCCTTGCGCCTGGACCTGAGTCCATTGAGATCATGTCCAGGACCTTGGCGCCCATGATGGACTTTGTCCTCGACGCCTGGGCCTGGCATCGATGGATCGGGGCGCAGGGGACACAGGCACAGGAACCCTGGGCCAGAGCTTGAAAGTTGGGGGCCCCGGCCCGAGCGCCGGGGACTCGACTCTGTTGCCAAAGGTCCGGGAACGAGCGTTGGGATTCCCACGACCAAGTGTGGACTTTCTGGTCCAACTACCGATAATTAGTCATATTTTGAAACTAATTTCCGACTTTTCAAAAAGGAAATCATTTTAATAAATTTAAGTTTTGGTAGGAATATCTTTTCCGTTAATTAGGGAAACATTTTCCGTTGAGTCATTTTTCTAAGCAATCCAAACGTCAGAAAATAAGAAAAATGTTTCCTCGAAAAGTATTTTTCACAAAATAAACACATCCTCAATAATCTTTTTCCGCCAACTTGACATTCCATTGGAATGTGTCGCGTGAGTTTCGAATCCATGTAACCAGGGCACAAAAGAAATCATGTCACGACCAAATTGACACAAAACAAAAAAGGGAGGAGCTAAAAGGCAAATAAGAAGGAAACGAGGGGCGAAAGTAGAAACACCGGAAACATCTTTTTGTGTTATTAAACGCTATTCTCTCTCTTTCTCAAGCCGTGCCAGCTCAGTTTCTGTGCGCTAAAGTAGCTCACATCTTATTCTCTCTCTCTCTGCATCGCGCCGGAATCCGGCGACATGGTCGGCGGCGACAACCTCACCGTGAATGCCGTGCGCTGAGATCGAAGGCCGCGATTCCGAATTGCCGGCATGTGCGCGTCCGTCCGCGCTCTTCTCGCTGTCCGGAGCTCCCCCCTGATCTCGTCGCGCCGCCCGCGAGCAGGAACCCGCATGCGGATCCGAGCCTGATTGTGGTAAATCGATTCCGCCAAATTCGGATTGATTCGTGCAACATTTCATTCGGTTTTAATTTTTTCCGTTCCCGTTCATGGCGAAACCTAGATGATGTTGCGGTGCGGTGCTCATGTCGGGTTTTTGCTGATTTTCAGGGGCGTGTCTGCTTCGATTGTTCGTATGGAGGAAACGCGCGCGATGCTGTGGGTGACGGGGATACTCTGCTCGATGGTTCATGCGATTTACGAACTCTTTCCGATATGAGAAGCTTTGGTTCAGTAGGAGCAGTTGGTTCTGGCTTGATCTGAGGAATCCGGTTTCGGTTCTTACTCTCGATTTGACGAATTTGATCTGAAGAATGAAAAGGAGATGGAAGTTGATTGCGTGCAAAGGCCAAGATTTATTTCCTGGATATGGCATAATAGAACTTTACTTTAGCGTTTTCTAGAAACCTTTCTTGTGTGGGAAATTTCGTGCATTTTGTGTGGAGGGTTTGGTATACTATAGACAGATACGGTGAAAAG